TAGCGAGTTATAAAAACAGACGTCCACTCATGCATTCTGCTGCCTGCCAATAACAGTAAATGTTTATATAATGTATTATAGCACGCGGGTTCCAGCAGTCAAATGGCACCTCCACATTCATCTTACGGACCTATTATCGGCTTTGCAGCATGCAGAAAGAACAGAAGCAGCTCTTGAATATGTCTTAGGTGATGTTGATGTTACATCTGCTTCATGCAGAAGGAGAGATGAAGCGAACAAATACCAGTTTAGTGATGGCATGAGCAGGCTCGGGCATGTGGGTCCGACATCCCCGGCTTGAATGAGCAGCATTACCGAGACATTGACGGCACTGAGCCCTGCTGTCGCTGGAAAACTACAACCGAGGCAGGAAATATCAAAAGGCACGGAGTGATGATGGACTGATCTGTTATTGGCCTTATTACAACACATCTCCTTTTTTTTTTTACTGCTTCGACACACTCCTACATGTCTGAGAAAGTGAATGGTACATTTCATGTGATATTTTCATCTTAAAAAAATAGAAATATATATTAGAAGCAGACTGGCTACATATTGTGCAAACTTGTGTGAAGCTCTGTGACTTTTGTTTTGAAAAGTGCCAAAAGAATAAAATTGACTCACCTGTTTATTTAGCAAATCTAAATGCATTTATTCTGTACCAAACAACGATCTTTTTCGGCAGCAGCACAATATTTCATTCATTCATCTGGAACAAACATTTCGCCATCATTGAAAACTGGCGTTGGCCATGTTGCGTTTTCAATGAATCCTCCACTAGAACCGCAAACGTCACAAACGCTCCTCTGGATGCAGAGTTTGTTTTGTCGGCTCCGTGCAGGTTGTGTGCAGATATAAACGGCTCCTTCTCAGCAAACAAACAATGACTCCATGTGCGCTTTACACTCACGTGTAAGTAAAATGAAATCATATCGCATGTATTGACCAACTGACCCAGTATTTATCTTCTTAGTCACATTACTAGATATTTTATCGTATTTGATAATTGGGAATTCCTTAACACAATAACATTAAATCAATCTGCGTCCATGGCGGCTGCTTTAAAGTGTGTTCATTAAAACAGGCGGGCTAATTAAAATGACTGTCGGTCAAAAGGGCCCCCCAGCTGGAATTATACTGCGCACACTATAATCAATCAGGCCGATGATTCAATTTAAAAGCAATCAGCATTTGGTGGGTTTTCTGGAATCAATGGTAATCCGATGATAATTTTGACCCGTGGCTGCTCTTTATTTTTAGTCTCAAATGTTCCTGCTCCCTCGATAGACTGATGGGAACGGGTGTCGGGGGCACCGGGAGCGCTCGGAACCTCGAGCCAACATTACCCGACAAAACGGCCTCGCTTGTCTCCCTTTAAGCGACGATATCAAGCAACAGCCCGTCCGGAGTTTCCTTTATAGAGCGCTTTTGATTAGAAGAGGCAGGTGAGCTGCTGGCGTCGCTTAAACGCTTCACGTTAGATTGTGTGTCCGTTCTCGGTAAATAATTAGTTGAAGTATCGTGCAGGCTCGCCGAGTGATTCAAACGGAAGTGAAGGATCATCCCTTTCACCAAGGCTTTTTAAATAATACGATGGATTCGCTCAGCCGCTTAAAATCTGCTCTCCTTCCGCTCAGATCGAGGAATACTAAATACTTCAAAGTGTGTTTACATCAAGAGCTATAAATATATTTAAACTGTTCCTTGAAAGGGAAGGACATTTTCTACAGGCTCAAGCACAGGAGTCATTAGTCCCACTCAGCGTCTCACTGTGAAGAACAGCAATCATCCTCCTTGTGTGACAGAAGACAGAAACGGCCCCGAAAAAAAACCGGCCCCGGCGGCAGACTCGATCCTTCAGCAGACAGCCGAGGAAGAGAGACACTCGTCATCATGACGTTCATCATATCTCTCTGCCTCGGCCGGAGTCGAGAGGCCCGTCTGAGCCGAGCCGACAACCAGCACTTAAAAGAAAAATAGAAAAACTTCAAACGCGCTGGTGCGCTCGTCTCTCGTCTCGTTCGGGTTCCTACTGGGAGTTTTCCACCAGAAACACGCAAAGGACCCAAAATAACCTCCTGTGTGCTTCAGCGTTTCTCCTCCCGGCGTTTCTTTTGCCTTTTATGAATTTACGGCCACGTTTATCTCTCGCATAGCTCACGATAAGAGGTCATAAATCTATTAGGCTACGATTAGATACTTTACAGGCGGACAGACAGCTGTCCGGTGGACTCTTGTCCTTACAGTTTGTTTCTTAAGCCGGCAGCTGAAGACAAGAGGACACACGTCATCAGGAAAGCAGAAGTGGGGAGTAACGGCTCTTTTGGAACTTGGACCTTGAACTTGGACCTGCTGCGAGATTCAAACTCACTTTTGTTGCCATTTGTCTCCTGCAGAGAACTTCTCAGTCATATTGTCTGCGCACGCGTCAAAGAACGGAAGGACTCAACGATAATTACACAGCGCAGAGATGCTCCTGTACCTCCAGCAAATGCTGAAGTCACGCCTCACACCGACCCAGTAATCAAGTGAGTCAGGAGGAAAGAATGTCTAATAATGGAAACGCACACTCTCACCGAGAACGACAACAGTGTTCATTCCTGCAGTCGCCGTCAAGAGGCTGACAACCACCGTTTGGGCCGATAGGAGATAAAGTTTCCCCCAGCATTTGTCACTTGGTATTACACAGTAATACAGTAGTAATCACTTATTTTTGGTTCTTATTAAGAATTTTAGAAAGATGAAAAGCAAATGACAACAGGGCGAGGTTAGGTGAGACGAACCGCCTTGGTTAAGCTGAAGAGTACGTCCATGTTTGTCATCATTTCACCCCATTAGAAAATCGCATGAGGTTGTGGTCATCCACCCTTTGCTAGGCCCCGCCCCCGAGCTGCGTCAGAGCTACCAAGGGTCCTCTGCCGGAAAGACAGTTCGGACTTTATTCACTCTTATAGATATGCCTCAAAAAGATCAAACTATCTGATCTCCCATGATGAAAAAAAGGCTGTTTTTCTCTCCCACAGGTGGCGATAACAGGTGGGGGGGGGGGGGGGGGGGCGGCGGGGTCAGAGGATCATCTTCCGCCCAGCTGCTGATGCCCTGTTACCCCCGGGTCCATTCATCACGGCTCGCTGAGAGTCAGATATGCGCTGCCCAAAAGCTCCCAGCATTCCTCACTTTCCCCTGTGGATGTGCGCCGCTGATAGCTGTCAGGGCTGTGCCCCCCCCCCTTACACCCGCCACCATTAGCATGGTCGTGCATCCCGATCCCAGTTTATTCTATATCATTCAGGAAGAAGGCACACACATCTGCAAACATTCCATTCCTCTTATGCACATTTGGTTGAACTAACTTACCAACAAAGAAGAAAAAAAAAAGAGGACATCCAGCCGATATCTACTCTAAAAACAAGGACTCTCTAGCTGTGTCCTTTATTCCTCCGATCCACCTCCCGCTTGGTGGGCGCATTGCCGGCGGCTCAAATTTGACCCATTTCTTACATGCAACGCGTTGAATATTAATAATGACTTTAATCGAGCGCGTCCTCTGGGCTTTAGGGACACGGCTCATTGACTGCAGTTTACTTTTGCTACTGGATACACCAGCGTTACGCTTGTGGTTTCCTGCCAAGCAACAACTGCAAACAAACGCTCCTACAATGAAGGGACATGCAGCGGTGTTCACACCGGCTTATGGTACAAGAAGTATCCTGCATAGTAACACACACACACACACACACACACACTCACTCACTCACTCACTCCTGTGTGTACTTGCCCTTTGAAAGCATATGCGGTGTATTAAGAAAATCCAGGAGGATAAGCTAATCCGCTGCGTGACTGATGCTGTGGTTAACTAAAGATGAAGTCGTGAGGAAGGGGGGGTATCACATTGACGGACCCTGAGGCAGGATGAGGGCGGAGGTTAACTGCGTGTCATTATTGATCAGGTGATCCAACCGATTGATCGAGTCCATGTTGATGGATCGGAGGGGAGTGCCTACCGGCGAGGTAACGACTGGCTTACAGCTGCCCCCCCCCCCACACACACACACACACAGTACTCAACAACACAACACAAAATGATCAGCTGCATTGAGCTCAGGTGACCCACCCAGTCAAGACTCTCCCACTGGTCTTGTCTGTAGGTTTAGGATCATTGTTCGGGTTGCTTGGCTAAGTTCACCGTATATGGACGTGAGCAGCCTCACATTAAAGAGGGAAGTCCGCTCTTTGACCTCATAGTCACTGTTCCGCTTCATGTCCGATGTGCCGAGAAAAGACTTTCTAACAAGTGGCCATTTCAATCTGCAACCACGATAACGCCAAACAGACGCACAAATATAAAACACCTACAAAAAAACAATACTACTCACAACATAATCAGTTTCTCCACATGTTCCCATGAGACTGGCTTGCATGTACGAACGCTCTGAACCAGAGGGGTCAAAGGTCACGAGCAGGTCATGCTCCAGTGTCTTGCTCAAGGACACTTGAACACAATGACAAGGACACAAAGGGTCGGGTGGACAGGCAAACCTTGAGACCACCTAGTTACTGGGACTCTCCACCCAACAACCTGCCTGCACTGAACAAACATCCTGTTACCCACCTCACAAGGCCCGTTACCCTAAAAGTAAGAAACCAAGCGATGCCCAAACAACAGATGACTGATTTTATGTGTCTGAAAGACGTCGTAAACTGTCGCTGATCTACAGAGTCTGTTCACGGGGCCTGGAAAAAAGCTTTAGATGTATTAAGTACCAGTGGTGTTGGAAAACATAAAAAAGAAAGTGCTTGTATTACAGTTAACATAAAAGCCAAACATGCAAAGATTAACCCGGCTAATACTTAATTTAATTTACAAAGAAATGCACCCTCACAGTGCTTCTGTTACCTTGTTGGATGTGATACCCATATACACAAAACTTTTAGTCTAAAATTGGTCTTCTTCAAAGTCGACCTCTACATAATAAGCCCCGCCCGCTCCCAGCTCTTACCACGTTGTAGCAGGACTTCCTGTCCGACCCCGTGAAGTGATACGGGTCGACTGTGTTGCACCCCTGCATGTACAGCTTGAACATTTTGTTGATGTGGCTCACGGAAATGGCGCAGACGGCCGAGTTTGGGGTGGGCTCCGAGGAGTTCGGCTTTCCCCGGGCGAAGGCGGCGAACAGCACGTCGCCGCCTTCCTCCACTAACAGCTTCTTCTGGAGCTCGACGTCGTGGCCCACCTTGCCGACGTGGGCCGCCTGGAGGATGTTGAATACCTTCATGGTTTCCTCGGAGCGCCGCCGCCTTTTGTCGGTGCTGATGCACTCGAGAGGCATCTCCACGTAGCGGCGGATCTCCACGTCCCCGGAGCACATGCGGGCGATGCGGGTGTGGTAGGCCTGCGAGTCCCAGCTCACCCGCTGCACCGTGAGGAAGTAGGTGAATGGTCCACTGTGAAAGGAGTAAACGTATCGCAGGTAGTAGTTTCCACGGAGAGACGGGATCAGGTCCATGTGCGAGCGCGCGGAGAAGAAGGTGAAGCCGTTCTGGCTCGTCTTCATCTTGCGCAGGGCCAAGGTGTGGGGACGCGTCGCGTTGCCCGAGACGTTTCCGCTGCCCGGTATCTCTGAGTTCCCCGCGAAAAACTTGATGACGTTGCTTTCCACGTTGAGCACCTGGGAGCCCGAAGGGCTGACGACCACGTCCGAGTCGCCGGGCTGACCCTTGCGCGGCCTCGCCTTGTCGCCGAAGCAGGACACTTGCTCGTCTACGGTTTTGGGGCTGATGTCGTCGTCCAGGACGTGGCGGCGGCAGACCCCGTTGTCCGCCGAGCCGCAGCTGAACAAACCCTTATCGTAAATGTTCTCCACCACCAAGGCAATGTTCCGGTTGTCCATCCTGCCGCCGCCGCCGGAAACAGCACCGGTCGGTTTCTGGCCGCAGGTCTCGTTGGCGAGCAGGGGCCCCGTGCGGTACTCAGACAGCTTTGTGAGGTTCGGGGCCAGGGCGTAGATTCTGTTCACCGCCCCGACGTAGACGATCCCGTCCAGCGTCACCATGTTCTGAATCGGAAAGTCTGCGGTGAACGTCGGGAGCTCGAAGGAGACGGAGAGGTCGAGTTTGTTGGTCTGGGAGGAAGCATCACACTGGGCCCGAGTGCCGGGGCACAAGGACCACAGCAGCATGGCGGCATGGAGGGAGCGGAGATTCATCCTGTTCCAGGAACAAGAGACGGGAGAAATTAGTGGGTGAAACTTCCCTGCTGGAACAAAGAGAATTGAATAAGTTCATCATGAATATCTGGGAATAGGTGGCCTTGATTGTCTGTAGTGTGAATGAGTACGAAAAGGGGGCAGCATGTGCTGAATAGGAAACAGAAGGACAGCGAAATCCCCTTTTAGACTTTCAAATGGAACTGTGTCAGAGTATAGAACCAGGCTTTACTCACTCCACCACAAGCAGTGAAACCATTCACATCAAAGGGCCTGGAGGCACTGTGGTGACACAAAGCCTCGACATCGGCCTCCGAATCATCAGCACTGACTCCACTGACCAAAGACAAACCCCACCGCCGGACCTCAGTGAGCCCTTTAGCAGCGCAGAGAGTGACCACAGCGGGGGGGGGGCAGTGAATCACCCAGAGAGCCGCGCTCTGGGGCCTGAGTTTAGACGGCAAAGGGCCCGAGGGAGCGCAGATAAACTTAATTAAAACAAACGAGGCTGGAAGGGAGAAGGCGAGGAGGACCTGCCTGCACAATGATAAATAACCACAGCTAACTAAATGGTAATCCACTGGGAGTGAGGAGGGAGGGGGCGGGGGGGGGGGCACCAATGAATGTACATTTGCATGCTTTCTATCCGCATGTGGTTTCACCAAAATGTCTTGTACAGCAAAGATAACGAGGCATCAGCATCCAGCGTATTTTTGTTGTTTTTACATGCACGCTCTCAGTCAGTTAAACTCACTGAGATCCCCTGTGGGCACATTTGGATTTATGACCCAAGTGTCATCGCCCTTCGTTTTTTTCTGCTTTTTCTGTTGTGTTTTTTCTTCACGCGTTTTAAGGACAATACAGCGAGACTAAAAGAGAAGTGCATAGAGGCAAAACTCCTATCAGAGTTTAACGCAGATAATGATACTAATAAGTGCCAAATATAACACATAAAAGGAAAAATTGAAAGAGTTTAAATGACTTTTTAAATGAAATGTAAAAGTATAAATTTAAAACACACCTAAGATGATGTTAAAGAATGGCACAGCTTTGTCTTGTTTTGAAGGATATGGTGAGGTCTTGTTTTGCTCTAAAGATTATGAGTAACAGTGCACTTCAGTGAGCACCTGCACCATCGCATCGCACGCCTGTTGTTTTCTGACAAAAGGCGGTGAAACGGGGAAAATGTTTCGGTTAAAGAGGAAAGTGACTCATGGCGAAAGGTCTCAGAAAACACAAGGCTGGTGAAATTAGGTTAGGGGCCAGAGAAATAAAGCCATTTCAAAACAGCCTGTGATATCCACAGGAGGAGGAGGAGCGATTTGCGACTTTCAGTGTGCGTGCGTTTTTACGCATGAAAATACCCATAGAGCGAAAAAAAAAGAGAAGAAAAGAAAAGCGCAGAAATTTTGGGGAAAAGAAGACAATAAAGCTCACCTGTTTACGAGCAACGGTGCTGTTGGTTCCCTGGATTCAAATCATATTCCGCTGGTCTCTCCGGGAGAGGGACTTCTTGGACTTTCTCATCCAAGTCCAAACGGGTCGCTTAGAAACCTCTTCTCCCTGAGATCAAATAAAACCAAATAAACAGAAAGGGACCGACTTGTTTTCCTCCCCGGCGGTAAAATATCCTGATGCTTTTCTCTGCGGCTGAGACCCGGTGTGGCTCGACACTGACTAGCTGACTGACAGACTGCATCCAGCACAGACACGCTGCTGCCGCGCGGCTCTGCTCCGTTGAAGCCCCGCCCCTTTCTCCCCAGACCCCGTGACGCAAACAGGTGCTGCACGGAGCTCAGGTGAGACAAGATTTATCCACCAGAGGGGAACGACCCGGGTGGCGCTGAGGTCCCATCGGATCTGCACATCGGATCTGCACAGAGTCTCAGTCCAGGGATTTCTGTTTGAATTCACCATAACTACTGTGGTCCGATTACACCAGACGCCAAATCACCGAAGGTGCCATTACATTACATTACGTCATTAATGTCATTTGGCTGACGCTTACAATTAACAACATTACAACCACTAACTAAATACATAGAATAATAATACAGAGAATTTGCAGAATGCACATTTGCATGCTCCCCATCTTTGTTCCACCAGCAGCCCTCGTCAACCTAAAGAAGCACAGCAGCTCTTATTTTTAACATGCATGACCAGTGTTGCATAAACTCACTGAGATTGGGCACATTTTGACTTATGACTTCACAGCTCGTTAGTGTTTTCAGTGTTGCGTTTCATCAGTTCATCAGTGTTTTGGGAGAGAACATATAAAGACATATATTCTTATTCTTTTAATGAAGAATGCTGCCTAATGTTTGTTGATGTTGTCGAATGTCAAGATTCTTTTTGATCATGTATAAAGACGTTATGCAATATGGTGGCAAATTTAGGCTCAAAATTGGTCATAACCGATTAGCTGAAGAAATTTATGAGACAAGCGAGAAGTTATGCCTTTCGAATCGAAAAGCGTCAGCGAAGTATTAATGAAGCATATTTTACCATCACGACTGCAGAAATGTTCAAAATGAAAGTAGAAGTTGGCATCGGCACCACGAAGGAAGGTCTTTGTTTCTTCTCCAACCTGCGCTGTGCGTCACGTTAAAACGGCTCACTCAGCCGTAAATAACAAGCTCAGTTTTAAAGGCCACACCGACTGTGTGTGTCTCAGCCATGAATCACAGTGGCCGGGACCCAAGAACACTCCTTTGTCCCGCTTCCTGAGAGGAGGCCAGTGGGAATGAGGGCCGTGAACCCTGGTAGCAGATGCAGAAGTAATAGGTAGACGCTGACTTTCTGACATGAGAGGCTTCAATGAGACGGACAGACGGCCAGAGGACGAGCGCCTGCAAGCAAGCAGGTCGATGAGTGATGAAAAACTAAACAGCAGCTTCCTCTCCTCCTCTTCCTAACGATGGAAAGGCTCATGTCGGCCTCGTTCCTTCTTACCAGAGCCCCTTTTCGTTTTTCCACTCTCATCTGGGTGATTTCCCAGAGGACGACGCTGTTGCACCGGGGAGCCCTTAAAGTGTCAAAGTGGATCATCAGCCAGGACCATTGAAGAAGAATCTTTATTCACAGTGACGTGCAGCTACAAGACGTAAGATCCTGGTGAAATTCTGAGAAACAAAGCGGAAGGCAGAATTTGAGTTTGTGAAATCGGTGCTCAGAGAAGATGTTTAAAGGAAAAGTTAGATTAGTTTAGTTCAGCAGAAAGACTGAAAACAGAAAGACGCAGATAACCTAAATGTTCCTAATTAACACGCTGGATCTCGCTTGTTTAATCCGTACAAAATCTTAAGTGTAAAAACAGTCCTTTATGTTTTTACAGTAGGCTATGGGCAGGATTCATTTTTCTCTCACTGTGTAGTTTTAGTCCCTTTAGGTTAAGTTCAAGCCAATTATGATCAGGTTTAAGATCCAGCGTTTTTTCTGATCCGAAATGTCAATGAAAGAGACACATATACCAACCAGAAGGGCTCAGAATGACCACAAAGACACACAAAACAACTTAAACGTGATACAAAAAGCCAACAATGACAAAGTGAAACCAAAAGAGTAATAAAGAGACAACAGCCGGGTGCATTGGAGGACAGGTGTCGGGGCCTTGTGTCAGTGCCCGGGGGCCATTGTCTCATCATCGGACCCGCCTGCCGTGTCTCTCCTCCACCTGTTCACTTATTGAATCACATCTGGATGAGAGCATCGTCTAAATATCGTGACATGTAATTATCGTGTTCTCATCGGTGCTGATCGCGTGAAGCTCGACCTTCTCCACCTTTTTACTGCTGAGCAAACGTTCCTCCTTCCCTCTTTGTAGTCTGTGTTTTTTGCCTCCAGGCACTTCTGGCGCAGTTGTCAAGGGGTTTGTCTGACGGGTTGTGTGTGTGTGTGGGTGTGTGTCTCCACCCGAGGGGTGCGTTCGTGTGGCTCATGCGGTGGTAAACTACATTTTGGATCCGGGCCTCTTGGCCGGGAGGCGGAGAAGGTCGGCCGGGTGGTGAACCTCACACTGTCGGCATGCAGAATGTGGGAAGCGGCGAGTATGACACGCGCTGCAGGAATGATCTGCATCAACACCTGCAGCACTGCGGCACGGTCCACTTCCTGCGCCAGGTTTGGTCCAGGCTCAGCACAACAGGACGTAAAACAGGAAGTGGTCTTCAACAGGGACGCTGTTATAGGACATGAATGTTGCTGTAGAATAATTCTTGAATGGATGAAACAGAACTTATGCAAACCCCTGCAGCTAAAGATCCAAAACCAGCTGGGAAGCCTGAAACGAGAAGAGCGGCTTCGGGCTAAAGCCTTCAAACCCGGATGTGCACAACCAAAGAGCATTTGGGATTTGACCCTTCACAACAGCAGGAATCTGACCCCTGATGGCGCCATCTGCAGGTACTGCAAGTGTGATGTATTATTGGATGTAATTAATGATGCAATAAGGTGTTTCTTACTTTAACGTGGATTTCACTGTTTTCGTGGATTCCCTACAGGAGCTTATCTATCACGAGCGGGTCAATACAAACTCTGGTTAACTGTGACCGGGGCGGCAAACCCTGATGGATGCTTTCGACCCATCGCCCCTCGCCCCCCCCACCCGTGGCTTCAATCTGCAGATGGACGCTTCACCTTTAGCTGCCGGGGATTAAGTGTGTCATCACTCAGCTGAGCATCTCCACAAACGAGCTTCTCCTGCAGCGTCTTCACAGGTGACGTGACGCCAGTGGGCCTCTTCTAATGTTCTTTGGTAACCAGGCGCTTAAAGACAAATATTAAGTGTGGATGCTTATTTCAGTAAATGTCTGCAGCGAATCACAGCCGGACAGACGCATCGTTTCTCCCCTCTTCTTCTGCCCGAGTTTCTGATAAAGTCACTCCTGATGAAAAAGGAAATCAAAAGATCCAAATCTCCTTCTTCACAGGAAATGGTGTCTGCAGCAGACGCAGGAGGAACCCGACAGCCGAGGAGCTGCTGCGTCCTCGTCCGTCTCCGGATGGACGGCTCGTGTGAAGACCATCGGCCTTATCACAGGGCAGATGTGATGAGAGGAGCTCAGATCTCATATTCACGTCCAGCTCAAAGGCTTTGATGAGGTCACTTCATCACAGCCTTTAACACGTGCTGCGAATATTTAACTGAGGCTCAACGTGACGGAAGAATTGTGATGACTTACAAACATCTCGCCATGTTGTCACAGAGCAGATAATGTTAATGTGGATTAGTGGTTGGAACAACTACAGATCCCACTCCCTGTTTCTGTAGTGTGATCAAACCCGCTGGTTGGGCAGAAGGAGAAGTCTTTCATGTCGTCCTCGTCTTGTCGAGCTGTTTATAGGAAGCCTTTTAGAGCTCTTAAACGCTCCTGTATTGTTTATCCATGGAAGCTTTTACTAAAATAAACACAGTCAAGTAGCAGTGAAACCTCAGTATTTTTTTTATAAATACTCTGTAGTGTGTATTTATTCTACACTTCTGTCTCATTCTGCTTATTTCAATACAAAATTTAATCTGCTGTAAGTGTTAATCCCAGAGATTGAGTTTCCTCAAAATAAATGTGTTTAAGGGGCAAAATTAGCTCTGAAATGAGAATTTATTACCTTCAAATCACTTTCTACCCCAATCAGGTAACAAAATGGCGATCGAGGCAACGGCCGTCCAATGAAAAGCTCTTTTTATTTGCAGTATTATCTGTGGTGACATTTCCCAGCACTGTTTTGTTCTCTGGTAAGTGAGATCCAAAAACACACCTGCAGTTACAGAAAATTGCCACAGCAAAACTGAAATATTTGCAATTGAGTGACTTTAAACGTTTATCAGATGTGTTGTTTTTGAACACGCAGTTTCTTTGGTTTAAAATCAAATGAATTCTGCTTTTTAGATGACATCAAATGAAATCATCTTTCTGCAGATTTTCCTAACATAACAATGTTCTTTGTTGATTTGGTAGTTCGCCAATCAACAAAAGTCACGTAAGTCAACTTCAGCACACATCTTTCTGTATAAAGACTGCATTTGTTTTCCAGTGCACTCTTTATAATGAGAGACCTGTCCTGCCAGAGACCTGTCCTGAGGACCAGGTGTTGCCGAGGAGAGGGGCATGTAGAAAGGAGGGGTGGGGGGGGGGGGCTTCTTCTCGGTAAATGTCAGGATGGAGGCAGCTTCACCGAGGGGTTGTTTGTTGAACCCAAATAAAGAGGACTGTGTGTGCGTGTGTGTGTGTGTGTGTGTGTGAGGCTCCTCGGGTCCGCTGATGTGCGATGAGTCAGCGCCCACTGATGGTTGTGAGCCGCCACCGGTCGCACACAATCCGCCGTTAGGAGTGTTCACGGGAGAGCAGAGCAGAATCATGGAACATGAATGAAAAACAGTGAAAAAGTGTTTCAAGATTTCAACTAACAAAAAGCAGGTGGGAATGATACGATCTAGAAGTTTCCTCTGGCGTGATTTAGGAATAAAGTCCTGTGAGTGAGCTGGAGGAAGACGCCACTGTGGAGACTTTACGAGAACTTTACAAGAACTCTAACAGCTGCATTGTGCACAAGCCCTCTGAGGGTCTTTTTGTCTTTTTCAGGGAGGCCTGTGGGAAGATCAGTGTGGTAAACCCTGCTGGATTTATCAAAGCATGATGTATTTTTATCTAAATCCCGTTTGGACAAAAAGCTTTTAAGTTTGTTAGAGAATAAAATGCTGATTGAGATGTTGCCTTCACGTGATTTATTAAAAGCGAGATCAGCTGGGTCGGAGGTCAGGCCTCAAGAGACTTAAAGCTCTCAGAGCCCAGGCGACGTTGATGGGAAGGGAAATCTTCTCAGGTGAATGATGAAGCACCAGAGGAGTCTGTGATGTCTGCTGAGAGGAAAACAGCTGCTGTGGCTACGTCACCTCCGACTGAGTCACCGGAGGACAGACCGGAGTCCACCTCACCTCCGATGGTCTCCGATCAGATATTAAAATACATGAATAGTTTGGTGTCACTTCATTCGGAGCTGTCTTTCATGGTTCGACTTGTTTTCAAAGAAGGGAAATCAACACAAACGCGAGATGATAATCTCAACAAAACTGCTCCTCACACTGCAGTTTGTTGTGGTTTGTGTTTCAACATCATAATTCCAGCTCCATAAGTAAAGGGTCAGTTTGGTGTGGAAGAACTTGAAGAGTGTACACAAACCCGATCCCCATCCCTTGCAAGGCTCCTGTGGCTGAAGCAAAACCTGGCAGCAGAGGACTATATGCTGTTAGAATTATTATGATGCCAGAAGCTTTGGAAAATATTCAACAATGCCATAAAATCAAAGGTCTTTTGTTTCTGCTGCATTTATCGACTCGTCCCACTAGAGGGCGCTGTCGCATCGCAGCAGCTGAGACGAGTTACTCAAAAAGGGAGTTAGACAACTTCATAAAAGGTCATTTTCTTTTTATCTATGCACGTTCACGTGATGGTTGAGCCTTTCCCAGCATGCACCTCAGCAGAATAACACCTAGGATGTGTCCTCCAGCCCCCGGGCTCCGGCTCAGCACCGATGTTCTTATTTGTTGGTAGTTTACAGCCTTTAATCCATCTGACCTTTGGAGGACTGCGAGCTGCAGAGAACATGCAAACAGTGCAGAGAACAGGAACAAACCGGGGGGGGAGGGTGGGGGGGCACATGCCGAACCACCAACCAACAGAATGTGGGCTTCCTGACGCGGCTACAAGTCAATAAGTTTGGGCAGTTTGTCCCTCTCTCATTCCAGGATGCATTGATTGGGTGAAGGAACAGAAAAGAAGACAAGATAGAACTTTACTAATCCCAAAACAATCCATATATTCTCCTGCATCCTGTGTGAAAATGTGTTTTTGTATTCTTTCATCTTTTAACCACATCAAGCTTCGGCCTCTGGGACTTGATAAGCTGCACTTTTGCTCACCTGGATCACAAAGCATTCTCTCAGCTGATTAGATTGGTTGTTAATTCTTAAAAGATCCAGAGAACCACTTCATATCTTTGCTTGGATAAAGAAAAAAATCACAATTTATTTGCTACAAATGTGACGTATTGTGCAGCAGAGTTATTATGATTTCTTACTGATGACACATGCTTCTAGTCTTGAACGTCATGAGTCACAGTCACACTGAGAAAATAATTATGATACGTGCATTGATATTTCAAATCAGATCACCGTTCAGCTGCTGTTGGGTGTTTTTCTTCCCAGTTGCTTGAACTGGCCAGTAGCTGCAGAACAGATGAATGAAACCAGTCAGCATCTTCTGTGAGTCACTACACAATTAGATTTGCTATGACTCAATGTCATAAGTGATAGAGGGAACAAAAGATCCACTGTTAATGTTGGACTTTCACATGAATCACACACTGGTGATGCCTTTTAAAGAAGCTCTAGATAAAAGAACAAACAAATCCACATTGGGGTTATATTAAATTTTAATGTGCACAGCGTGATATTGTACAATGAAAGCAAGGAAAGGGGGAAAACAAACATATTTTCTTATAAAAATATCACTTTTGGAGCTTAAAAACATCACAGGTGCTGCGATGTTACCGTCCCAGTGAGAAGACGGCGGGTAGAGTGAAGGTGACGGAGTAAAGCTTAGCGTAGTGTCTCAACAAAACAACCCCCCTCCACCCCATTGCAGAACCCCACCCTGTCCACAGTCAGAAGTGGGCACATCTGTTTACTTAAAAGTTTAAACAAAAAGACAAAAAAAGGATGGATGGGAAATAACGACCAGATAACAACAAAAAATACATTTAAAAAAGAAGAAAAAAAATCAGACATTCCATCTCACATTGTCTGAATTCCAAAGTGTTAACCTGTGCGAGTACCACAGGGCGTCACAAGCATCTCCACACAGGCGCTAACTTCAGTGCTTTTCACTAACAGTACTTTTCCATGGATTGGTGCACTGGAAGGAGGCGACACCCATACAGCACATACAGGACATGAAAACTACGGCGCACACGTTAAAAACTCAAAGCTCTTCATGTTCGTAGTGAAGCAAAAGAAAAGAAGCATCACGATGGGACGACGCGTTTAAGAGCTTCACGGAAAAACCAAAAGAAGAAAATTATTGTCACACACACGAGGAGGATGGTGGTGATGGAGCTCTGAGTTTGAGGTGGAGCAAGAAGAGAGTGGAGCTGAGATGTAGATGATGTGGGGGGGGGGGCTAGCGGTGGAGGGAGGGGGGGGGCGTGCTGCGGTGCAGGACGATGAGTGGGCAGCGAGGCGATGCAGGTGCATGCAGGAACGAGGGCAGGTTCAGTGTGTCAGACTGCTGGGAAGCCGGGAGGGGCTTTGGTGGGTTGGAGGTCATTGGGGGGGGTAGAGGGCAGAGAGGGCAAAGGGAGGGCCGTGGCTGTGCTATTCGGCCTAGAGGCTTATTTTGATTCTGCTGAGTCAGATAGAATTTAGCAGCGCTCGCTTCGCCACCCCCCCCCCCCCACACAATGCCCCCCCCCCCCCAACCCACACTCACACACACACTAGAGAAGACAGGGACACACCCCAACATCTCCTCTTCACATGAATCCCTCAAAGTGAGAAGCTCTCCAGAGGACGAACGGAAGGAATTGACATCATCAACAACAAACAACAAACAACAACAACCCCGGAGAAGAACCCTTTGATTTCCTGTTGCCACCTGTTTGGGTGTGGCGACACTGAGAAGGGTCAGGTGCCATGTGACCACGCTCTTACACTTACACACAACCCCCCCCCCCCCCTCATCCTCCCTTCCCCACAGCTCTGGAAAAGTCTCACCTCTCGTTTTCCCAGAGGTCTATTTTGTTGTTCTTCTTTGACCCTCCCCCTCTTTCCGTTAACCAGTGTTTCCGCGTTGCCCCTCCTCTTCCTCATCCTACACCCCCTTGGTGGTGCTGATCCGGATGCTGCTGAGGCACTTGCCCATGGCCTCGAACAGCGGGTCGCAGAAGGTGTGCACGCAGATGGAGTAGACGCGGCTGACGCAGTGGATCTCGATCAGGTAGCTCTTGACGCACGGCACCACGGCCCAGATGTGCAGGAAGGACAGGATGGCGAAGAAGATGCCCCAGATGAGCGCCAGGGGGATGCCCACCAGGGCCGTCAGCAGCCGGTAGCACCAGTACTTGGTGACGGTGAAGGTGGTGAAGCTGGCTTTCCACACGCCGTCGAAGCTGTAGGTCCCCGCCGGCTCGGCGATCACGTCCTCGAAGTCTACCTGGGGAGGGAAGAAGAGGAGGAGTCAGAAAACGTCGGCATCTTCGTTTTGGAACCAGAAGAGATAAGAAAGGGTGGAGCCTTATTGATTAATAAGACGGCTTTATATTTCAATACGTTTTATGAAGTGATTTTAGTTCTAAGACGTAAACTACTACAGTGCTGTCAATCACAGGACACAGTACAGCACTCATCAATAACCCCCCCCCCCTCACACTCACACACACACTCACGCACACACACACAGTCCAGTCCGTGATGTGGACACATAGATCAGCAGCTTCCCTCCCTGTGCACACGTCAGTTTGAGATGGAGGGTTAGGGGTTCTTTGGCAAGATTCACATCTCCGCTCGCAGTGACTGGTACCCAGTCTACACACACACACACACACACACACACACACACACACAGTATGGCTGGAGAGAGATGGATAGATGATAGATAAGATAAAAGTCAGCTGAAGTAGAAAACTAAAGGTCAAACCGTCCTTGTGTTCACATACTAAACCTTGTGAGGACGGTGGTCTGTTAAAAGGACTCAGCTTGAATCGAGTTCCTAGAAGCTTTTAGCCGCTGTAAACACTCGCTGTGTGGCACCTTCTTTCTGCAGTGTGTGTGTGTGGAATAAACGGGCGTGTTGCACACACTGTTATTGTGTGATCAGCGAAGGTGAAGCCTTCTCTCTCCGCCGCTTCCTGAGCGCAGAGTCAATATTTATGTTACAGTCACTCGGAGACGGTGTCTCGCCTGGTCGAGCTACTCAGGGGCCATGACGGTAAGTCGAGCAGGTGGTACCCAGCGACCCCCTGACGGTGAAGTGGAAGTGAGATCCTCTCTGTTTGGATGACGTAACGCACACCAGCTGACCGGAGGCATTGAAGAAAAGCACATTGCGGTTCACTTTCCACTTTTTCCATCTTGGAACTCTCTGCTGGTTAGTTGATGCACTTGTCTCCTTTCTTAGGACAATTAATCAAATTCAGTTTTTATCTATTCTGTTGGCTGCATCTTATACATGGAGTTATTTAAGACTAAGAGCACAGACTATAAAGCATTTCTTAGGGCTCAGAGTGGACGTGCTATTTTGTAACAATGCTTTTCACATATGCCACTTCTTTGCCTCAAACAGCAGCTCGCAGGTCCAATTATTTCCCTCCAAGCAGCAACATAAAGCTTCTCTCACAGCACCAACCGTGGAATATAAATCTGACTGCGACCACAAAACAGTCCATTCAATTTTTCCACAGCTACACATTTTAAAGTGGACCCACTCGGCTCCATTTTCCAGGACTTTGATTGCCGAGCGGAACAAACCACAGCGGGATGGTGGAGGGGTTCGACTTCATGAAGTCAAGCTGTTTGTTGCTTTTTTTTCTAGGTACAACAAGGAGGAAAAGCCTCACCCTACTTCGGAGGGTTGGTTACACTGTTGTGGCGAGTATCACCCAAAAATGACTATTTCATCGCCATATGCAGACTAGTAACTTTTGATCCACTGCAGCGGCCCGGCTGTCTGGTCCAAGCCTCAGTCAGAGGAGTCTCGGGGCCGGCATGTGACTGGACGTGAAGGCGACCGTATTGTGCAGCAAATAAGGCTATGTGTGCTATTTGCAGAGCTCTGTCTTCAGGCTGCTCGCTTGAATAGACAGAGGAGGGCTGCTGGGGGAGAAGGCCTTACTGGACTCCTCTGTTGCTTCCAGGGCTTCGGTACAGCCAGAGGAAAACTTTGGTTGCGTTCAGGAGCGGTTAGGAGGATCGGCAGTCACTCAGAATAGTTTCCATAAGTGTGCTTTTCATTCACAAATCATCGGAGCACAAGTCCATTCGTTTCCCGATACGAAAAACAATATAATTAGCTACATGCTAAATCTAATGTTTTAGGAATGGATGATAGAAACATCTCTTTTGCAAAATATTTGCACGAATGACAGGTAGCGTTCCATTCCTTTCAATCTGACCCTGAAGGACCCATTAAAACTCTGAAAGAAAAACTTTGAAAAGCTCTCCCCGGTGGGAGCCGTTCCACTCCAGTCTTCTAAATAAAGACCCGCAAATTAAGGAAAGGAACTCTCCGCGGGACAAACATGCATGTCGGTAATGCAAGTGGTTTGAAGTGGCCAGGGGATTGAGGCCAGCTGCAGCGGGCAACAGGAGAACAGCTTGTGTTCCTTCTTCTTAGAGGAATGCAGTGTGTGTGTGTGGGGGGGGGGGCTTTGGGGTTAGTTGGAAGGGATTCCCTGCATGAGCCTTTCATTGGGGAGCACCAAACACACTATTTCGCTCTCCGTATCTTTACTGAGCCGCCTGGTTGGCCTCAGAGCGTCTGAGTAAAGCTACGTTTCATCAAGCACGTTTCCCTCAGTGTAAAATCGCCTGAAATAAAGACGCGGTTGGGTTTTTGATATAAAAATGCCATTCCGCGTCGGCGCCTCCGTTCTCCCAGATGCTCGGCACATGGGGGAAGTTTCGGTTGGCAGCAACCTGCAACTTCACCACTAGATGCAGACAAATCGGCAGGGAGACATGGCGTTCCCATCTTGAGGTTCTCTGTGAACACTACGGTGGACCTTTGCATAGGTGGTTCCCAGGTCATAGGGGCAGTTACTCAGATGGGGGGGGGGGGGCATATTTTAATGAGACGGCATGTGACATGGGAGGCCAATTTGTCAAATACCTGAATGTGTTGTAATAAATCCCAGTTCTCGGGTTGCTAAAGACACCGGATGATGTGTCTCAATTTCCCATCTTTTTTTTTTTACAGTTTCCCAGTAATTTGGGATAATTCCACCAGCGGCCTGTTCGAGTTCATTAGAGAGGGGCGGGATGACGGCAAAGCTGCATTCTATTCTGAGACTGGAAGACTGGAGAATGTGACTCACTGTCACAATGGAAGCAGAACTGGGAGGGAGAGAAAGCGGGCAGCGGTGGAAGAAGCGGGGGCAAAGTTGCTTTGAATCTGTTCATGTGGCACAACCGGGAGAAGGGTGAACATCTGCCTGTGATTTCAGGGGCTTTTTTCTCCTGTGTTTTTCATACTTTCAATACCATAAATACAGTCTTTCCCCTACAAATAAAATAAGCACATGTGAATTCACCAAATGGGAAAGAATTTAAATACTGGCATGTGTAGTTTCCGCACATTTAAACGTCAGACATGTCATGAAATACAGCATTTCACATAATTAACAACACATGCAACGATTTCTCATATCAGTACAATCAGGTGTGTTTATTTCATGCATGTGTGTTTTTACTCTGTGACTAGAAACACAACAGTGAGCCCTTTTTTAATAAAATAATCCAACAGTAATCCAATGAAAAATCTCAGCATTTTTTCCAATAAACTGATTCAATAATGTCAGTCAGACAGACTAATCATTCGGCGTCTGAACACGTGGTCATTTGCTGCTAGAATGGGAGGAGATACCGGGAGGGGTGAGGGATATCCCCCGTAGACCGACTATACTTCTTGGGGTGTTTCCCTGTTTTAACAAGGCATTTCAAAGAGCCGACCCTGTCCCACGCAGCGAGCCGTTTGACCCCCTCCCCCCCGCTCATGAGACAAGAAGAAGAGCCCCCCCCCCCCCACCGTCCACACAGCCAGGGTGCTCTCTTGTGGAAATAACTCTTATTTCCTTTCCCAACAGCAAGGCATGTGCGACTATTGGTAAAAAAATGCCGTGTTTCAAAAACAGGAAATTGGTAATATTTCATTTGCTGGATATGAGGATGTTCGAGTTTTCTGTCGCAGGTTTTTACGCGCGTGGGTAGCTCGCCACTGGGGCTCAGAGGGCTTTAATGCGTGTGCAAAGTAATCTCCTAATAGGGGAAAGTCGCTGAGGGAGAACAATGCTGAAAACCAAAGCAATGCGCACCAGAGCCGCCGTGCGCCTCTGGTGCGCACTAACGCACCAAAAAGGAACTGACAGCTCCTACATTTACGCGCAGTTTCCCAACGTTTATTTATGTTTTCAGTGATTGTCACGCGTCTCCACTGAGCAAAAGTTAGGAGCAAACTCTGCAACAGGCATTGACGACGGCTGCACGTTCACCCCCAAATACAAGTTAGCAAGTTAGCGCCCCTCCTACCCCCCCACCGACTCACCTTGACCACATCGTCGTTAATGCGCTTCGGGTCCCGGTTGACCAGATCGATCTCTTTGGTGTGGACGTCGTCCATGGTCTTCTCGTTCAGACTGTCGTTGTCCATGTCTTTGTTGTTAGGCTTGTAAATGTTCCCCTGCTTTCGGATGAAGGGTGAATGCAGGAACTCCTGTGAAGGATCCGGAGGAGACAGAAAGAATGAAGAGGAGGAGGGAAACCGTGCAGCGCGCTCAGAGTGGGAGAGAGACTGGAGCTGCGCGTTACCAGCCTGCCCCACAAACAGGGATGGGTTTAAATGAATAGAAAGCGCAGCACCACACCCCTCGATCCATCCGCCAGGGGTGCTCACATCCCGGCACCACATACAGTGGATTTAAAATGTACCTGTGGGGCATGGCGACGGTGTTTTAAAACGCGTAAACGGGGTATTTCCAAATATTAAATACTTATTTCTGCGGAAAAAACAGTCTTTTAAACGTATGTTTTCGAAACAATCGAAGTTATAGATAATTTTTTTTAATACATGGACACTATTAGGTGCCGTAAAACGTGCAGGTTTCCGTGTCCACAGCTTTACAACGGTGTGCGTAAAATGGCCAAAGCTCCCAAGTCTGACCTCGGTGAATCTTTTAAGCAGCATCTTATGTTTGTCGTTATTTGGTGTCAAAGCATGTTCATGACCATTGGCTCATATCTCACGCTGGAAGGTGGCTTTGGACTTCCGCCCTTTGGCGCTTTTACGCACGGGCGTGTAAACGCGCATGCCTGGTGCCTCAAAGCTATTCCCGGTCGCTGTGTTATTAAAGGATTGTAGCAGGTTGAATCTCACACCCACGTGCCGATGCATACTCGACGGTCATTCACATTCCCCCAGCGTGTGTGGCAAAAGCGTTCACGAGTAGGTGCCCGGAATAAGATAAGGACAGCGCGATATGAGACAGACCTTCAAATGTCCCCCATGAAGGGAAATGATGAGCAACAATCAGTTAGAAAGCGAAATGTGAAAAACAGCCGGCTGTGCGCGCGCGGGCCATACTGTACCTCCTCTGTGTCTCCGTCCTTCAGTCCTCCTGTCATGCTGTCCTCAGGTTTGAACGGATCGGCTCGTGCAACGGACGAGAAGCCACTGAAGCTGAGGGGGAGGCGTGGAGACGGAATGAGGGACCTGCGTGGTCATCTAACTCCTGCCCTTTTCGCTGAACGTGACCAGACTTTTAATGCCAGTGTTGAGGGGGAGGGAGACCTCCGTGCTTTCCTCTTCCTCTTCTTCTTCTCGCACAGCGCGTCCTCGCAGTCACCTGTGAGCAAAGACGGGGGGAGGCGCCCTGAAACCTGTCTCTACCTGGGGGAAGAGCTGTGTTGTAACTGTAAACTGCGGTGCAATGACTTTACTTGGGGATCGAGGCAGGGCATAACCACCCTTTTGTTCAGGGAATGGTTTTGGCAAGGTGTGGATATGTGCCGTACCTTAGCCTGAGGGAGACCCACTCAAGGAATAGAGAGCAAGAAAACATAATCAAAAGAGAAATGAATAAAGCAAATTCAAGTAGCATTCAACATGAACCAGCAGCTATTGAACTATTTAAGCAGTCTGCCACCTGTCCTCTGACAAACAACAGCTTAATTAACGCACAGACAGTGTATTGGCACTCTCAGCTGTTGTGAAGCCATGCTGGTCACTCTGGTTTGTTTGCATTCTTGGATCAACTCACCTTGGACGCACACCAGCTGGCGCACTCAGCTGGATGTGATGGGAGCCTTTAGTGGGTGTGTCAGCTGGAAAGATCACTCGGGTAATAATCGACTTCCCAATATTTTAGGGTTCTAACGTGTTGTTTCATTTGAGAGCAACATGCAAGTTGAGAAAAACGTGCATCCACAACCACGTGGATGTAGATATATGCAACTTAAACGTGTGCAGATCAGTGACAACATTTATATGCTGAACATGACTAGTAACTAATTATTGTACTAATTAGTAATTCATCAACGTCACATTAATTTATTCAAACATTAAACAAGTTTAGAAAATAAATAACATAAAAATTAATTGAATGAATGAAGTAATTGTTGTTAATTATTAAAAGAGCCAAAGATGCTTCAACTAAATCTAAAGAGTGCAAAGTTTCCAACAGTTATCTCTGAGTCTCTTTGGAAACTTCACAGTTTTGTGACAGTCCGTCTTCAGAATTCTCAGCATTCTGCTCTTTTCAACCCGTCTTAGTGAGCTGCAATGAAGTGCATTTGCCTTTCTCTCATTCCGCTGGTTTTAGCTATTACATAAAGGGTACTGTAAATATTTTCATATACTTCTGAAGCGATTTGAAACTTGATCTGGAAACATAGTTAACCTTCTTCGCTATATTGTGATATTGATCCAATAAGCTGCGGACGCTCAGTCGTTTTAGAATATTCTCTTCAAGGATGAACTTTAAAATGTGGAAAAAGTAAAGAAAAATCCTAATTTGGTGTCAAAGTCAGAAAACAGAAAAAGTTCTGTTGACACATGACTTCTCCTGAGGCCTCCAGGACCCAAACATCTCCGCTTCATGAAGAGACAGAACGTGGTTCTACACCAGCAGGATCTGCAATAGCTTCACGCTGAGGCAGTTTATGATAACACTATCAAACATGCAAATGACTGCCAGAACATGTTGGTCCAGCTGATTGTGTGTGTGGAGCATGACGCTCAAAGGGAATGGTCAACTCCAGGACGACCTTTATGACCTTGAAAAACAGATGCCTGCCCTTTAAAATGAGATAAACTCAAAGAAAACATCAACCCAAAATGTTCATTTGTGTCTCAAATGCACACATGTGTCACCTTGAATAGGGAAGAAACGGTATTTTCTACTTTTGCCGACAAGTTGACCGAAGAATGAAAAAACTGAGATATGTTTTGATGAATTGAAGTAAATGTGCACGTTTTAAAAAGAGATGAGGGGGATGGACCCGGTTTATGCATGTTTTACATATACAAATAGATTAAAAGCTTTTAAAGATTAAGATTAGAGACACTTGGATTATACTGTCCGGTAGTTCATAGTTTTAAGGTTAATTGCAGCAACAATTTACGCTATCCAGACCTGTTGTCCATTTATTTACAGTCTTTGTTCACCTTGGAGGCAAGACACACACAGAGAGAGTGGACATGTGGTGAGTACCTTTAAATGGTCCTAATAGGAAACCAATGATATGAAGGCATTAGAATGGATTCAGCTGGTTAAATGTAATTAAATCACTTACAGCTGATATAATTGTTTGCTCTGATTCGAGGCATCTTGTGGTTTCTGGTCAGATGGGTTTATTGACCAACACACAGGGTGTGAGAAACTATCACATGAGCTCTGTTAAGCTCAGTGGACACGAGACTGAACCCCCTGAATATCAGAGAGGGACCATAGCAACGAAGTCAACAGTGAGTCAAGCAGACCAAAGATTAAACTCTCCAAACATGAACCAACCCCTCTGTGGAACCCTTCGCAATCCGGGGAGGAAGGAAACTGCACAGTTTGGTGGATGTAAGAACGGCTGAAGTGGGGATTCCGTATTGAATTTGAGTAAAATGCCATTTTTAAGACACTAATGTTACAACAATGTAACAGACACCAAACAGCCCAAAATATCAGAACGTAACAGTGCACGTCTTTGCATGTGGCGTCTCGCCTTAAAAAGAAAAGACAGAAAAAGACAAAGAGGGTGTGTGCCGGAGAAGCTCAAGTCCGAACAAAAGACGCTCAGGAACTGAACATAAGGCATTTATGGCCGAAGGACACTGCAACAGAGAAATATCTGTTGAAAGAGGTGGAGAGGCCGGCGCAGGCCTGCAGGTCGCAGGTCTCGTTCCATCGGGCCGCCGCTCGTCTTGTGCAATCATGGAGGTGATTTACGAGGCCTCTCTGGCACTCAGCTGTGAGTCTCAACCAGACTCGTCCCCTGAGATGGAAGAAAAAGAAGAAGAATCCACACGCAGAGGAACGAAGCCCGAGGGAAACTCTTTATTTCGGTCATGAGGAACACATTTGTGGCGAAAGCTGCAAAACGAGTATAATCCACAAAGCAAAGACCTCATAGAAGATAACGATTCTGACAGATAAAAGTGTTTTACAGACAGATGGATACGTGTCACATTATGATTTATTTGCCCTACTGGAGAAGCTGGGGTTGATCAGGGCTACGTGTTTGCCACGCACACACCTGCGTCTTACACTATTGCGCAACGAAGCCGTAACTCCCCAAATGATGGCTCGGCTGAGCGTCTTTTGGGGGCTTTTTAGTTCTTCTTATTTGTTTTAACAGCACTTTTACTGAATGGTTCACCAAAAAGTTTCGATCAACCGCATGTAGCGTTAGCATTGTTAGCAACTAACTTCTATGAAACGGGCGTGGCCGGATGTTTCATGGGAGTAAAAACGATAACAGAAAACCTCCAACACGAGAGGTGGCTTTGCATTTATAAATGACACATGAGTACAGAACGCCCCACAACTCTCACGTTTCCTCTCTTGATTTTTCCTTTTAAACATCAGAATTGTACAGCAGAAGTGAACCGTGCAGGCTTTGTACCTTAAACTCAAGTGCCAGCCTACTGTCTGATCCCCTGTGGCTGTAGAAATGTTAAACTCAGCCTACTGACTCGTCTCTGAATGAAACATGTACCGGTCTCAGCTGGACGAAGGCTCCAACCAACCACGGCACGGAATGTGGAACTCCTTCATCACACGCGGCAAATGTTCAGAACTGGTCGTCGCAAAATAATAAGTTAGAAAGCCCCCCTCGCATAATATCAAGCATGATGAAATAACTCTTTTGTGAATAGTTTACCGTGTGAAAGGAAATGAATACGGAATAAACAGAATAAACTGTGGAATCCACTCAGCAGATTAAGGTAAAATAAGCCTGGAAATGTGCAACAAGCTGCATCTTAGCGTTTCTTATACATACAAACTCTCCTCAGACTCTGACTCGATATATTATACCTCTAGCTGAATTAATTGCAATATATACACAATATAGTAAAAAGCAGAAATCGAACATCTCTCAGCGGGTCAGCAGTGTGTTTGCTGATCCAACGGCTCTCTGGTCAAAATGTAAAAAAAGTGAGAATTTTTCCTTTGGTCACAAAATAAGGATTTTCTATGGTGTTTGTGACTATTCTAAAGTCACAAATAGTTTCAGTAAGACTTACTTCGGTAAACTCTACAGGCCGCCAGTATGAGGTTGAGATGAGCAGCAGATGGAATGACACCGAGGCTTGTTGTCTATGTGAGTATGCTTTTAGGGTTTACTGTTCCTAAAACAGCATAGAGTCCCCACTCAACAGAAAAATATATTCAATTGTATCCTACACTGGGTCAAATTCGTAAAACTGTTTTATGTATGTATCATTGTAGTAATTTCAACCCAGTCAATAGAAATCAATGTTGTAATTGTGCGTTTTTGCAAACAAAGAGATATGTTTCTTGACCCAAATCTTTTTCGTGAATTTCATCTGAGCAGAAAGGTACAATGTCACAGGTTTAATATCCTGAAATGATTGGCAAGGTTTAAGCAACAAAAACTACTCTGTGAATGTTAGAAAATGGTTTAGTTGAAATAACGACACTACAACCGTAACAATCTGCTCTAGCTGGATTTTCGCGCTTAATGTTGCGTTTACTTTTGGTTCCGCGCGGGACTCGGCGGTCTCCTGGGTGAAAGTCTCAAGTACTTAGCACGGCACTCTTCAGGACTTTACGTTCAACTTTGTAAAGAGGTCGTGTATTCCACTGCAAGCATCGGCCAATCGCGTTGTCCCACTCTGCTGAGGGATCAGCACTCGGTGGTGGTCACCTGAACAGAGGTCAGGCTCCTCCCCATGCTGCGGAAGAGCGGCGTGACGAACATGTCCGTCAGACTCCTCCACACCACCTGGAGGGATGGTAACAGCATCAAGAAGCTCTGGATCACTGGCATCACCAACCTGGAGGGACCAGGTCAAAGGTCACAAAGGAACAGGGACTGATGCTTTAAGTTTGCTTTTTTACTTTTATTTTTTACGCGTGTCGTGAGTCCGCTTTCGCTTTGGATCCTTTGGAGATGGACTTGACTGGAGATGGTCATTTTCAGGTTTTCAATCAGTATAACTGAACGATTGGTTTTCGGCTGATCTAATGAGCTCCATCGCTACAGGAGGGGGGGGATGCATATGAGTTTGCTTGATATTGAGAACTACAACAAAAATGTTCAATGTCCGCCTTAACTCACTGAAATTGAAATGCAAACCGCCACGTGGAAATATTTGGATAACATGTTAAAGAGACCATAGTGTTTCAAAATGTCATAACCGTAACTTGTTTTAGATAAATAACAATCACTCTTAGTGGACTCTTCACCGTCCGGGTATCGACTGGCTCAGTGTCACCGCTCCGTCCTCGATTGGCGAATACCGAAGGAATCGTCTCGCGACCTCACCGAGGTGAAAGGTCAGTTCTCCATCCAAATAATGTCCCACTCTGGTCTGCAAACCAGTCTGTGCTGCTGCTAGAATGCCAGCTATCCAGAAAAACGCACAGGGTGTCCCCCCTCTCCACCCCCCGCCCCTCTACCAATGGAGCTCAACATTCCTCCAAACTTTCCATGGAGGGCAGACTTCTGGGCATAAAGTGTTGTTTCATCAAGTAATGAACAGACCGTTTGGGTTGTAGGCACGTCTTAATGACCTGGAGGCACCTGGTTAAACTTGATGCAGGCGCATATAGACGAACTATGCATGACATCACTGTCCAAATAAAAGTATGAAAACAACACTGAAAAGAATTTTTGACGTCATACTATAAAAATAACTTCTGAGAATGTTTGCCCTTAAAGAGCCAAAGCAAGTACGCTGGCGAGGGGGAAAAAATCAGACTGAAGATCGTGAATTACTATAATACTTGAAAATGATCTTTGTATTGTAAATTATGATGTTTACAGGACGGCTTTATTTCTTATATTTTTGAATGACTCTGTTGTTTATTGGAACTTTTATAAGTAATAAGGGAGAATTTCATGTCACGGCATCCCTCTAGTATGATATCTGTGTGCAGAATAATTCTCTTGTTATGACCAACATTTGGCCCGGTGCCAAATGCGCGCGTCTAAACTCAGCACCGGTAGAGAAACCTGCGGGACGAGGGAGGGGGGGGGCTTCTCCCTACCAGATGTGGATGCAGCTGAGCACCCCGAAGACCAGTCCGAGGATGAAAGCCACGGGCACGGCCAGCAGCGTGCTCAGCACGCGGTAAAGGAGATATTTGACCAGCTCGAACGCGGCGTGGCTCCCGATCCACACCTTGTCGAAGCTGTGCGCGGACACGGGCTCCGCAATGACGTCATCGAAGCCGACCTGTTGGTGGTTTAACAGTTAGATACGATGAAAGGTTGACGCGACTTCCAGGTGAGAAAACCATCAGCCCACATCAGCGAGCAGCTCCTGGTTGTAGTTTCACTTTGCCACCGCCGTGTTTACCTTCAGGTGCGCGTTCATGTCGTACGGATCTCGATCCGGTTCCGCCGGGTGCGCGCTTCTCCCCTTCTTGGACAGAATCGGCTCTATGGTTCTGTTGAACTCGTCTTCGTCCATGATTATGCTGGTGCCCAAGTTTTCCTTCTCCAGACCCATGTTGCGTGCGTGCGCTCGGACGGGACTGGCGGTGCAGGCGGAGCGGCGGCCGGTGACGGTGCGCTGTGCGCCAGACTAGAGCGCCACCCCGCCCCCGTATGGAAAGCAGCCTAGCGAGGGGCCGAGGGGAGACGCAACAAGGCTTCAAGTCACATCCTCGTGCCCGTTTCAAAGGCTCCGTGACGACTGGCTCCGCTGTCATGCGCCATGGACACCCAGGAGCCAACAGGGCTCACTACCCCGAACCCCATGTGAGGAAGCATGATTACTACAGCCTGCAGGGGTTCTTTCTTTCTTTTTTGAAGTGTTTTTAAGTGGAAAATATATTTCATCGGTTACCAAGGGTTAGGGTGAAGATGTTCAAGTCCCAAAGTGTTGTTGTGTTACAGTTTTTAATCTGTTTACGTAATCAAAACGTATGAAGTGCTTCCTAAACTGAAATGACGCCTCCTTGTTGTTCCTCCAACCAGTTGCTTCCTTGTCCGTCCAAAATGTCATCATCCCTGAAAAAGGCATTTGTGAAAAAATTGTCACAATGAGTGATGCCCAAATTATCTTTTTTCTTCCACATTTTAATTGTTTTGCCCTCAAATCCAGGAGGATGTTTGTGCCAAATCGGAGGCGATTCCCTCCAGGCGTTCCAGAGCTATCGCGTTCGTTCAAATGGGCGTGAAAAGGAATCATCTCCCAAACCTATAAAGAACATGGATACAGATTAAATACAGATTACATTTGTATTCATTCACGTTTTTGTTGGAGCTCTGTGAACAGAATGCTTGTCTTCCTCCAAATGCAGCCCTCTGTGCTCTGATGCGGCAGGTCCAGCGTCCTGCCTATTGAGGAGCGGCCTGTAAACAGCAGCCTCTTTTGTTCAGGCGTCCCCGCCTGGACGCAACACGCGGACACACACACACACACAAATAGAACAAAAAGAAGTAGGTCAGGACGGCGAGTGACAGCAAAGCAGAAACGCCGACCCCTGGATCAGAGCGCAGCGACAATGCCACACGAAAGCCCTCCTGGATTAACGCACACAGGAGCATTCTGACAGACCAGCATTCAGCGAGGGGGAGAGACGGACGGCCCGAGGGTGGACATGTGGGTGGACATGTGGGTGGAAGAGAGAGCCGCAGGGGAAGGTGTTGCCCCATCTCGTTTGATATTCATTACAACCAGCATCCATCTTCTCAGCATACCTCTCTAAGCTGCTGCGCTGTCGGGTCCAAGTGCTGAGGAACGTCCATCTCAGCCAGCCTGTGATGCTATTTAAACGACCCCGGTGCTAATCTGAGAACACAAGTATACGACCTCCCTGGAGCTCAAGGAGTTTTGAAGCCAGAACTTTGATGAGTTGTGGTTTAGGTTTTAAGATGTGTACTTGTGACTTGTCGTTTGAAGGTTCACTTGGATTTCAGAAGGCTTTTATGGACAAGAAGAAAACCGACCGATCAGTAATCACGAGCCAAATGGTTGAAATTCTGACAGAAATAGAAAAAATCAAAAGCTCAGCTAGCTTGAAGTTCGTTGTTAAGCGAACAAATTGTAAAAATCAAAAGTACGGGTAGTATTTGTTTGCAGCTCCACTTCAGGTTGGATCCTGCAGGTTGATTATTAAATGAAATCAACTGCCACATTCCATCACATCCCAGGACATTCCAGGACATCCGGGCCAGCGAAACCTTTCCTCTGACTTCAGAGGGAACTGATGCATTTTTGTTTCCAGGGGGAACAATGAAATCAGCTCACACGCAGTGCGAGTCGGCTTCCTGTTCCACCCGACGGGACGCACGTCACCTGAAGCGCCGGTGGAGAAAACCCAGCTCGCAGCCACATAATACAGTGCCTTCATCTTCAAGCAAACATGCAGATGACCATGATGTGTCCTTTAATTTTCACTCCAGCTGGGTTTCAGACTACGTGCAGATCGGCTGAAATGAGGCTCGTGCTAAGGCATCAGCCTGGAAGGTGCGGTTCTGCTCCTCTCTTAAAACCCCTGAAGAAAGGACGTCGACACAATCTGATTGGCCAAGAGCTGAAGAACCCCAATCTGCTCTTGACTCTTATTTAGGGGTCTTTGCCCACAGCCTGATCACCTCAGAGGAAATATGACATCCAGCTTAAAGAATTATAAAGAAAAAGGTTGAGACAAGAGCAAGTACCAGAGAACGGGCCCTCGCCACATCGTGGATTTGAGTCCAATTCAAGGCGATCCAGAAACATCAACACGTGTGAAACATGATCAGTGAGAGACGTAAAAAGAGAAATAAGAGAGTAAAAAAAGTTTTGTTCCAAAAGAGAGAAAAAAAAGACTGCAAATACAGATGCACAACAGACACAGGTCTTTGTACAAACACACACATATGTAAATGTCCCCCCCCCCCACACACACACACGCGTGGGGTATATATGTTCTGTGGTATCTAGCTTTATCCTTGTTTGTATGAGGTTGTCTGTTTAATGTAAATTCTGCCACGATTCTGCCTGAAGAGTGCGATGCGTGTGTTCCATGTGCAGTTACGCCTGTCGGTTCAGGGGCCCGGATCTGGCCCCCGAGGGTCACGGGTTCAAAATAATATGCACAGCTCAGTTTCTTTATCTTAAATAATTGAACAGATACAGTTTTAGTGTAATTTAAGTTACCGTAACGGTTCACATACAGTAAGGGGTCAGCGAGGTCATATTTTAAACACTTTTAAAATGTTTATTTTAATTTTATGTTAATTTTTACATTCCCTTAATACATAAAAGCACAAGAGTGCCATAACTGGAGATTTTATATATATCTTAATTTAAAGATTTAATTTAAAAAGTGAATGGACATACCTCAGTATAGTAAAAGTACACACAGACCCAGAAATAGCAGTACAAGTAGTATTTATACCTCATAGCCTCTGCTCTTCTCTTCCTGCTCAGATGTGGTGGATGGATGGAGAGATGAGAGGGGGTGAGGGAGGATGTTGGCTTTGGAAAGAGAGAAATGCCCCGACAGGCCCCTTCATCCTGAGGCACTGACTGTCACATTTGTTCCAGGCGGTGGAAAAAAATCCAGCAACAAGCTAAAAAATTCTGCCCCTGAAACCATTTTCCATAAACGCCTCAGATGGTGGGTTCCACCTGTCGCTCTGCTCTCGGTCTGCTCAAAGGTGTATTGAAACCATTTCTAAAGGAAACACATTGACTTGACGGTCTGAGGACTGCTGATCCTAAATATTCTGATATTATCTGATATTTGTGTTGTGTCAAAGTAAATGCTGCTCGCTTCATGAAATCATCGCTGGCGTTTTATTGCACCCCCCCCCCCCCAACCAGGAAATATCCCACAAATGTCCTTCGCAGCTCTTTACGGGTTTCTTTTACCTTCTATCGTTTTATTAATGATGGGATCTGTCACAACAAACACATTGACCTGTAAAATGTCAGCAGTAATGTGTCATGTGGTGTGATTGTTCATAGAGAAAGGCCTTTCATCTAAAAAAGGACTGTGAGATAAATTGAAATATGTGAAATGCGGAATAGAAAGAATTGTAAATGAAATGTTACTTTCACCAAGGTGTTGTTGTTGTTTCCTGACAAACAGCTGCGGTTTTAGATTCGGGTTGTTGCATTGTGTGGAGTGTGAATGAAACCATCCACCAAACAGCACTATAGAAAAGTCAGCATTCTAGCTTTGATCGCATTGGAAACTATTGTTGCCTGCAAAACCTTTGAATGCCGCTTTGATCGCCTTTCATGAAGCTGTTCTTTATAAGGGCTCTTAATGCGTCACAACATAAAAATGGAAAATATTACCGCGCGCTGAGCAGGAGGCCTGTTTGCACCTGCAACTGCTTTTCCTTCTCCGCTGAAGTATAAACAGTCAGAACTCCAGAGCCCCCCCCTCCCCCCCCGGGGCAAAATCACTACTCGCGTCTTTAGCTGCACAGTTTATTCATGCTCATATTTAGCCCAAAACACAAAGTCACTAATCACGCATCTCAATGAGAAGATCAGAACAAGGTCGCCGCATCCCCTGTAATCTTTGGGTAACACCCTGTCATCCCGGGACTGACAGAGATTTCACGCTTTGTGCCAAGTGGATGTAAATTCCTCTCACGGATGGCAGACAAAGAATCGCTCTCTTAAGTGAGAAGTACTGATGTCTTTTCCGCCCATGTTGAAAGGGATTTGGGATCAAGTGAAGGATGACAGCACTGGAAGGTATGCAGAGCAGCTGTTGGGTCATGCACAGTGCCACACTGGTACGATGTTTCCAGTGTTGAGTCAGCTCGGAGCCAAAACACTCACCCGACAACTGGCAAAAACATTTTTTTGGCATAGAAGGTCATTGCAAGGTACTTCGTCATTTCAAGTGTTTGATTGTAAAAGAGAGCACATATGTCTTTCCCTTTTCTTGCAGACTTGGGTAAACCTGAAACAGATCAGCTTGTGTGAGGATTCCTCCTTTAAACGATGCACATCCAAAAGTAAATCAACAGAATGGTTTAGATTTACGTTTTTTTTAATGCTCGTCATTGACACCTACTTGAAATTGGATGTCCAAGTCGAAATGTACTGAGTCAAAAAATGTCATGGAATTTAAAAAATATATATATAAAGTTGAATTTTTTTTGAAAAGAACGTAAAAAAATATTAGGTTTAAAAATGCTTTGAAAAACAAGATGGAATTATTTGGATCAAAACCGATCTAAAAAATTGTAAAACATATATACTTTGTTAAATGTCATGGAAAAAAGTTAAAGAAATTTTCGGTCAAACTGTTTTTGACAAAAAGTAAAAACACGTCAGGTGTAAAAATTTCATGAAAGTACATATACAAAAGATGAGCAAAAAACAACAAAAGCCCATTACTTAATTCTCAGACACGTCTACGTCAAATGAGATAACCTCATAATGACTCCAACTCTGATCAAACTTGTTCTTTCAAAAGAAGAAGCCCTTGGACGCCGTTGTGAAACTTCCAGAGAGCAGCGCCGTTAAAACTTCTGAAAACAGAACCAAAGGTGAAAGTGATTCTGAAATCACTCGTTGGAGCAGCTGCTGCAGATTTTCACAATGCCAGGCAGCTGAATGGTGCCAAGCGCCTTCACACTTCACACACAGAGCACTTGCATAAACTCTAAGTTTCTGCTTACCATTTACATGTACATCCATGAAAGATTTTAAACTTAACGTCATCCGCATTTAATTTAATGTATGCTATTATAGTATATTCACGAAACGCTGTTAATTAGGTAAATGTGTGAATTAATAATAACACATCATGCTATTCTGTTGGCCTGTTAATTTAAAAATACACAACAAAGGCACTTTTTAACTTCACCTTAGAAAACAACAATCATTAAGTGCGTCTTTTGTTGCATAACTTATTCGCTTTTGTTCAGGTGTTTAAAAATGTCAGAAAATTAAATTTCATATTTTGTACAGCAGAGCCGTTCTGGTTGGTTCCCAATTTTCACAATATATCATACAGAAAAAAAGTACAAGCCTCAGCTAAGTAATTTAATTCCAGGGCTAAAATGTAGCGTGAACCACCTGGGCACAGCCGAAACGAGATCACATAACTTTAAAGATTTGTGACAATGAGTCACGTCGATGTTTCCAGGAGGAGGGATCCCACGAGCGCCGTCGCTCAGGAGGTTCCTGCTTCTTCTGACCACAAACATGGGTTGGGTTCGACACACCCGGCTCCTCCATGAGGATCAGCACACACACACACACACACACACACACACACACACACACACACACACACACACACATCTGCACCAGCCCACACATCCCAAACCACAGCAGCTCTGACTGGAAGCTTCGAATAACTGTTTAAAGATGTCTGCTTTTTTTTTTTTTAGCCCTGTGTGCTCCATCACCCTCCATCAAGCGGAGGAATGCGAGGGCTCGGCCTCTACTTGGCGAAAACAAGATTTGTGAAACTATGCCACTGAACAGATACAGCAATTTCTTTCCACCCAGATGTGTTGCCCTTCTGCTCATTAATGTGTGGCCTGTGGTTGTTTACTTCAAAAGATCTTTTCCCACAGCTGAACACAATGTCCCCCGTTGGTGTCATGGCGATCTTGTTGGGGCTCATGGGAGGCTCGAGGATCCTGACGAGTCATCATAAATGACCACTATGGGTAATGTGAAGTTTCCATTTGATCTTCCATATGCGGCATGTTTTAAATCTAAATCTCTCTATTGTCTGTGAGTCCGTTCATGTGCATTGTCCTGGTTTTATTTGGCTGGTTTCTGCTGGTTATTGTGCTGTCCTACAGATTTCTTCTGCCACCAAAGAACTTAAATCACCTGAAACCAAACACAAGCGATAATATCCAACTATTCCTTCAAACCTGAGATTGTGCTTCGTCAGCGGTTTGTTAAAGTTCTCCTTTTAAAGATGTTTGTAACGTCTTTGCATGACAGCTAATCTGTGGTTGCGGTGGGGAAAAGTTGGACTTTATGAAAAGTAAACGCAAAATGCGAAGCTACATGCTACATGCTACATGCTTCAAACCCATCCATCACCCTAACGTCAACGCGTCTCCTTTCTACCGTGCTGCGTTCAGGCTACAGGACTCTAGAGTGGGCAGTGTATGTGAATTCTGCACGCAACTGATTTCTGTAAGGAAATCCTTTCGGGGGGAGGACCGACTTTCCAAATGTTGAAAGTCAAATAAATATCCAATTTGTATTCTCTGGTTTGGCTGCCGTGATAGCTGAAATCTAAAGTGCAGTGTGCAGGGACTTCCCAGCGTTCATTGTGACGGAGAACAACGACACAAAAAGAAACACTTCTAGTAAACATGTCGAGGGGGGGGGGCATATAAAGTTCTCTCGTAAGTGGACCAGTGGTTTGACGCCTCCGGGTTAAAAGGATAAAACGGCTGATAAAGGACTCAGACTGAGTGTGTGAGTAATATTACAAGTGTCTGTGTTGCCACTGTGACAAACAGTGTTGCTATGGTGATAATAAAGGGAACAGAGTGCAGATAAAGCTTCACAAATGCTGAGCGTACCATTCTGTGTGTCAGCTCAGTGAGCAACATCCCTCCTGTGAAGCCGGAGATCTGAACACAACACGTGTGTATTTGCTTGAGGCGCCAACTGCTGCTGAGAAGGTGGTGATAACGAAAGGCGCTCCCGGGTCAAAGGCGCTTCTGACGGTCCTCTAAACACACATTCTTTATTGAGTGCGTGAAAGGTTACGGACCCTCAGCGCGCCGAGATCTTCTCATTCCTGAGCTGCTTCCACACCTGACACACACATGGAGGGTGTGGCGAACCGAGCAGAAACACACGCACTCAATGCCTCCCCCGGTAGTTTTCCACAGAAAACTAATCCCCGATGGTGAATGATGCTTTCACACAAAATGGCCACAGCTGGACGGCTTTCCAAACGGCACAGAGCCTTCTTTTAACGGGCAAATCCTCGGTTTTTAATGATGCTACTTAGTGGCAAAATGTTTCCCCCCTCAAGATGGAGAACGCTGCCCGGTCCACTTTCACACAAAATACAGCGCGGCGTTGTCCACACACACTCGCTCCCCACTTCTTTCAGAGGGGGATAACTTCTGAGACTTTTAGAAAAAGCGTTCGTTCCCACTTTTCATGCTGTCAACACTTTAAACACAGTGGAAAAACCCCGTGTTGGAGGTTTGAAGTAGTACGAATTCCATTTGACGGAAAGGTTACAATCATCTATCCGTGCTTCTACTTTGTTTGGTGTTTTTGAATGGCAGGCCCGGTTGCCATGGTGCCACGATAAGGTGCAGAATCTGGTTCCCGTTTAATCCAAATGAAACGCAGCGTTTAAGGAATCTCCCTTCAAGTGGTCGGGCTGGTTGCTATGCTGCGATTGGGAAGCCAACCGCATGGCCAGTCAAACAAACATCCCTTTTTCTGAGTCACAGGCCGCCTCCCCCTCTCGCCTCGCCGGTCCAAGGGGTTCCCTCGCCATTAGTCTGTAATTATGCCCGAAGTCTCTCTCTCGCTCGCTCACTGTCAGTTGCCGCCTCTCTCGCCAACCAGCCCACACACTGGCCGCTCTGTTACCCCCTCTCTGCCCCTTCCGGCCCCCTCCGCTCACCTTCGGGCTCCGACAAAGCGCCTCCTGGGCGATATTTTTAGGGGGTGTTTTCTTTCCACCTGGTTCCACAAACAAGCACTCCACTCCACTTCTGGAGGAGGAAAATCTCAATCTGCTCCCTCACTACGGCCTCACCTGGCGCGCTGACCAGGAGCAGCTGGTTCTGTTTTGCCTTTTTCTGCGTCCAGCATTAAAAACAGGTCCGATCAGACTCAGATCAGAGTTTTGTGGCAGAGTGTCTAAAGAGAATCTGCCACCCATTTGCTGTGGGAATTTAGATGAAAAATGACTGGAAATAGTGCTTGTGCCTTTTTACAAAATACTAAAATAATGTGTTTAGTAACTAATCAAGTGTGTCAATAGCAAACTTAGGTGCATTTTTCTGCTATGGCTTCATGGCCACATTTTAAATGTCAGAAGGTCGCTGGATGATCAGTGTGTAGTGTTCAAATCTGGTGTAAACCCCCCTCAAAGGTCAGGGGTCAAACCAGTTTGCACCCTGCCGGTGTCATCCTGCCTTTATCTCCGTGCGTGAGAGAACGCTGCAGACATCTGACCACACATTTCCTCTGGTGTGGGAGGAAGGGCTCGGCTCGGAGGCCGAAGGCCCGACCCAGTGACTCCTCGCAGCAGGAAGATGGGGCGGAGGAGGAGGAGAGGGAGTCGTGGCTGCAGAGGAACAACCGGTCCGGGGGGGGTGCAGGGTGTTAAAAGACGAGGACAAGACAAGGAGATCCATTGACGGACAGGTAAGGAACAAAAAAAGGTGAAATGTGAAAAAAAGACTCATGGTGAGACAAAATGCTGATCTCTATGCAAACATTTGACTCATCTAATACATTTAAGTATTTTAACAACTACAGTGTTGATATGGCGTGTTGACATTTTGTGTGTTTACATGTGTGTGTGTGTGTGTTGGTGTGCATCAAAAGCCACAAGCACATTCATCTCGGCAGACTTTTATTGAAACATTCAACTCCTCAGATTTGATATCACTATGTTCACTATGATAGTGAAATTAAAGTACATGAACAAAACATTGTTTTACTGAAGATTTGTAATGTTAAGCAGGGATAAAACATTATTTTTTAAACTCACGTGCCAACTTAAACACACACTGTAATAAATGTTATCCCTGCACAGTTGGTGAGTCATTATTCCGAAATGTTTATCGCATTCTAACGAGCAGATATAAAACGGCAACTAAAACATTCAGCTCCTTATATAGAAGACGTTTCTTATGCATTCGTCACACAGAAATCAACTCCAGCAGACGAGCCGCTCACAGACTGTCCTCGACTCCAAATTGTGTGTAAGAGAGGCTTTCTTTTTTTAAGTCATCTATTTTTGTCATCACATGTTTCATATAAACTTTCACAGACACAGAGCGAGAGAGAGAGAATCCACAGTAGAGACCTATCATGCGTTTACTGTGAGACAGTTTTCTTTTTTTAGTTTGAATATGTTCTCCCACAATTACGACTTCTTTGGGAAAATGTTAGACCTTTTTGGGGGGTTTTCGTGTAGCTCTGCTGCTTCCTCTGGCTCCGTACAGTAAAGCCAACTCACCAGAGGAGTGACAATTCAGATCGTATAGAAGTCTATGAGAAAAATCTTTGAATAAAAGCGTCAGATAAATGACATGTGATGTCGTGTTTTGGGCAGTTTCATCCAGTTTCCTTATTTTTTTTATAATCTCAATTCGGCGGTTTGAGACTCTGTACCGGCTGCAAGTCAGCGCTCAGCACTCACAAGTTCACGCACTGCGCTACACAAACCGGGTAGTTTAGTTAAAAACACACTGAGTCTCCAATGAGGTCACTCTTGAGGAATCTCTCTCACACAAACACACACACACACACACACACACACACACACACACACACACACACAGGGATGTCAACATTGTGCCTGAGTGAGACAAGCCTTCCTCCACATTCCACTCAGGAAGCGGTGTATGGACGATAACGAGCCAATGGGAAGCAGGCCACTGTGTAGTTGAGTGTGCATTTGTACCTGTGAGCACAACCTCGATAAGCGGCCCGAGCCGCCGAGCTGAGGCTGATGAGCAGCGACCAGGAAGCATGCGATTTGTTTTCTTGCTGCAGCTGAACGTCAATCTAGAAGCGTTATCGCGGCCCCTCAGGCCCCCGGTCGGCATTTTTTTAAATGGATCTCAGAAGAAAAACTCAGACGGGTCAGACGGTGGAGCTGGAGCTTTTGTTTTTTGAATTTTGTTGTGTAGCGGAGCAACAACCGAGAGGACGTCATCTTCCTACCCAGCTAGCCACCTGCTCGTCCCCGGAGAATTCAAACCGGAAATGGCCACAACAAAACAGGATAAATGTAAAAGAGATTTGACGAAGCTCTACAGGTTTGTAAATTTCAAACGTCAACTTGCCGAAGCGACAAAGGCCCATTTACGACACGGGGAATCAGCCAGGAGTCAGGGCAAGTCAGGAGATGGTGGAGACCAAACCAGAGCTAAAACCTGAGCCAGTACCTGACCTCCAACAGGAGGTCCTAAATTGGGGGTGGGTCAGATGTTCTCATTTACCTCTGGGCGGCTGACAGACAATAATGTCCCCCCACTTGTTCTTTGAGTCAGCCCCTTCTTCTTGTGCCTGTCAATCTAACCCTGTAGTTGATTTGTTCTTCTCTTCGCTCCGTCACCTCTCTGCTTCTATTCCTCCATCACCTCTTTACACATTTATCTCTTTCACACTCACAGTTTTTCCCCCGTTTGGAAAAAAGGCAACTCCTCTCTGTCTTAAAACGTCCCCTTTGCTCGTATACATCAGCAAAGTGCGGTGGTGTCGTGCAGAAAGTGTCTATTTAAAGCCTGCCTCACCCGTCACCCCTCACCCATCCGTCACCCCCCCCCCCCACACACACACACACTTCCCACAATCCCCTCTGCCTCTCGGCCCAACCGGCCGACGCAGAGTTTCCTGGCCTCGTTTCAGGAAATTGCCGCTCCAAAGAAGGAGGAAAAGGAGGAGGAAAAGGAGGAGAAGGAGGATGGAAACTTAGAGACGGCTGCTTTGCCTTGGATACAATAATAAAACACACACAAACACACACTTAGACACACATTCAGAGAGGGAAAGAGGCAGTAGATTCACACACTGCCTGTCTTTGTTGCTAACCTGTCTTGATGTCTCTGTTAGCGGGACAATGTGGGAAAATACGACATTCAAATAAACAACACTTGGTGTTGCCCCATTGTCCTCTTTTTGCTGTCTCTCTTCCCCACTGAGCTTTTCTCACTGGAGTTCTGTGAAGCAATGTTTGGCATCTGGTGCATGAGCAGGTGTCGTAGCGATGTACACAGGTGAGTTACGGCCTAAAAATATTGAGAAACGCTGGCAGTCCACTGGCATTATCCTCAATGTCTCCATTTATTGGTTCTAAACATGAATGAATTACGTGCAGGCATAAAGTGCAACATTATCATGGAAAGGGACACTAAGCATCTCTATGGAGACTCAAAATAACTTTAAAAGACAATTAAAACTACAAAGAGACAGTCACCAAAAAGAAACACAAAAGACTAAATCAGAGCAACTGCAAAGAGAGGCACAACAAGCATGAAGTCTGTGTTGATGCAGGAGAGATGGAGGGCTTCATAGTATACTAGTGGTCATAATGAAAGATTCTTCTAGCTGGTAACAGTAATCAGCAGTGACAAAAAACAGTGACTAACATACTTCCTCTAATCCTGCTCACTCTTCCTTCTTTTTCCGGTAGCTTTGTTTGTCTCCCCCTCTCTCATCCGACTCTTACGTCACATTACTCCCTTCATGTCTTTCATTGGTCATCCCTCTCCCCCTTTCTCCTTCCCCCTCTCTTATTTTCTGGATCCTGTGGTCCACCGCGGTGAAAGAAGAATTGCATTTTTCCCCTCTGGTCCGTTTTGGTGACTCAGTCTTGCCTTTCAATAACAGTTTAACAATTCGAGTTCCCTGCTTCCTTTTGGCAGAAGTGTATTTTTTCTCCTTGTGCCGAATACGGCGATCTGCAATATGTAGAGATCCAAGAGTTTCTTACCACCACGGAGTAAGAATTTGGAGGAGCTGTACCATGAATGTGGCTGATGGCCACTACATTTAGGAAAAGTAGTCGTGTGGCGTAACAGTTGTCTTTTTTTCTGGTGACGCTGGTTACAGGAAGTGTTCTTTCGTGCCGGGAAACCACGAGGCCTCCAGCCGCACGCGTCCAAAACCTCACACACATACAGAACCCAGAGCAGACAACCACAAAAGTGTATCTGACACGCGCTGTAGCCCATAACACAAGTTTGTTAATCACCCCACACCCACACACACGCACACACACACACACACACACACGCACGCACACACACACACAGTGTAAATATTCCTCAGGTGACGCCCTGCCACAGATACCTCTCCATGCTCCTCCTCTGTCAACACCCGTGTCTCCTTTTTTCCGGCAGCAGGTTGCTATGACAACACAAAACTGCCATGACAACAGCGGTAAGGAGGTTACTCCACCCAACCCTGCTGGTCCTGTGGACTTTGGGTAGTGTTCAGGGTTCTGATCCAAAATGAGACAAAAATCAGCGGACAAAGCAGGTTCATTTTATAGTACAGTTTCCATTTAAAAACACATTTCTATTCATCATGAGTGGGACACTGTCAGGAGGAAAGCCTGGTGACGTCTCCTGCCACATCTGAGGGAGTTCCGTAGTTTGTCAAAAGCCTGACAGGGAAACCCTATCATCGCATGGAATTCCTTCCAAAGCCTCTCGCCGCACACACACACGCGCGCTGAACTGTACAAACACACGCATTCAGAGGGGCCTCACACACACACACTCACGATTGAGGCGGCCCATTGGAACGCCGCAACCCCCGCTTGTCTGAGGACAACCCCACGTGGTGCAGTCCGGACGGGGGCGGCCGAACGTTCCGTGTGTGGTCGGACGTGTGTCGGGTCGGGAAGGAGGGGGGAGATTTCCTCGGCCTGTTGGTCACAGGCACCCGCCCTCGTCCCCCGGCTCACATTGTCCCCAGTCGCAGCATTGTGTGCTGCCTGGTCGCCGACAGGATGTGACGCCCTTGTTTTGGAGTCCTGCATGTGAAAACGATACTCCAGAGAGCCTTCTCCCGTTACTCAAATAGGGCCCAAATGGCTTCTTCCGTGTATTGTCACCACTAAAGAGGATGGGGGGGATAAAAGAGTCGTAGAAAGGACTCCCACAATGGATCCTCTGGTTAATCAGGAGGGGGGAAATGTCAAAACAAGATGGGGGAAATGATCCCGGAGGGCGTGAACCACACCGTCTTTGAGGAAACTGTCATGAATTCCTAAAAGACAATTTGATGTGATGAGACAGGCCTGAAACCAGTCATCGCACAACAATCTGTGTCCCAGGGGTTCACTCTCAGCGGCTGTGTACGTAGTTTAATGGACCTTTGGTTTTGAGCTTCTTTTATATATATATATACATATATATTGATGCACAAAAAGCAAGAGAGGTGTTGTTCAAGAAACCTTTCAACCATCCAACTTTTTATTGTGTAAGGTAGATACAGTAGGGTATAGAAAAAGGTCAGCGACAAAATTGTTGAGTGTTTGAGGATTGATTGAACATTGGCTAATAACTCCAGATAAAGAGACGCAGTGTCCGAGTCTAAAAGGTGAACATGTGATCCAGGATGAAGCTATAGGAGGTCGGTATGTAGCTCATTCTCCCTGGAGAGACACAGGTTATAAACCGGCGTTGGGCGCTGTCGTGATGTGGCAGCTTCAGATGTGGGTTTACCCACACGTGGTCCGGGTCTTTTGTTAGCGGGGTAGCTGGCCTCAGGCCCAGATCGGTCCTGGTTTCTAATTCATTTGTTTACTGGGTGAATCTCGTTTCGCTTATGTTCAAAAGTGCTGCCCACTGTCCCCAGTTGCCCTCCTTGTTCACCGAATGTTCCTCCCCGGTTAACGAGCAAACCTCTGGACTTAATTTGGAAATTTCCATTGCTGCACAAAGTTTCTTTCATTTGCGTTATTGCAGGGAATAGGACATGAAAAGCATTGCCTTTGTGTTACCATAAGTTAAACCATAAGCGAAGATGTGTCATTTCTGTTACTCCCGATTACGGACGCTCTGTGAACGATTTAAACACACATAAAATCTTTGGACATTGATGATTCAGAGTGTACAAACAAGCAAGATGTTCTTCTTCTGCCACTGCTTGGACCGGACTTGGGTCCATTCACTCTTAGACCTGGGTCACCGGACTGGTTACACAATGTCTCTGATTGGATTGTGTATCCAATCAGCAGAACACAGGATCTCAGACTATGGGACCCTCAAACGCAGTCAGATCCGCGACGGCCTCAGGAAAAGCGAAAATCGCTAATTCCTTCCCCGGCTCCATGGCGCTGGGCATTGTGAGCAGATACGATTCATGTCGGCCGGGGGGCGGGTTGTTTGGGGAGGAAGGTCAGGGAGGGTACTCTCCATCAGCCACGTAGAAACAGTGAGGCTCCTGTTCATGTGTCCTGGTAGAAGACGGATGGTCAGGGGCCTTCACATTTACAGTCTCACACAGGAGCGTAAATCGTGGGAACAACTCGGGGGGAGCAGCTCATTTATTTCGGTGTGCTCAGAGACGTCAGCTAGTAATGTGCTTCTCTTCTGTCATTCATCGGGGTTTAAAGGATTTCACACAAAACATAAGAAGACACATGCGACACAATCATTTATTGGGGAATTTGTGATGAATACAAAGAAATGCAATAGGTTATGATTGTATTTTCTGTCTGGGTCAAGGAGTTCCAAGTAAAAGAAGTATTTGCATCGCTAAACGCTAATTTTTGCTGGGAGATTACAGGTAAAATGTGTGTTTTAGCGGATCTTTCTCCTAAAGAGAAAACAACAAACAAGATAACAAAAGTGCAGTTTCGGGTTACTTTTGCTTTTTAACGTGTTAAAGAAGTTTCAGATGAATCTGTGTAAGTCTGCGTAAGGAGGAGAGGAGTTGAACACAATCCACCAGGAAACTGATGTTTGGCTCACACACAGTACCACCTGGAGGCGGAAAGATGGGGAAATCCAACAATGACATCTGTGTGTGTTTGCGAAGGGCTCATGACGTCACGCCACTAAAGCAGCGCTGTTACGCCTGAGTGGCTTTAATTGAGTCCAATCACGGCGGGAGAGCCCCACGCCGACGGGACTCAGTCCGGGACTTTGTGGAAAGTGTTCTGGCAGGCTCAATAGATGCCTGTTTGGTTTGGGGGGGGGGACGGAGCCCTGTCCGTCCGTCTAGACGGCTGGTTGGGAAACACATGATCCAGTCAGTGCCTCAAAGCCGATCGGCACGCCAGATCAGCACCAGGGGCAATTTGTCAAGTTGAGTGAGATGCGTTTAGAAAGAGGAAACTTTTATTGCAGCTTTAATAATCAAGGATATCAACTAGAACGGAGTGCAAAACATGTTATTACGGGAAATCAGGTTTTTTTGGGTAATTCAAACTGGCTGGATTTTTCATACCATTTCCAATTACAATCCAAGCACTCCAGTTGAATGGAATTATCTTAACTACTGGTGAGGCAGGGAAAGGTGAGCATGAACGGTTCATTGAAACCATGTAGCAAAGATGTACGGTTATTTAAAATATTTTTGGTTAGATAGTTATTGTGTCTGACTGCCAAAGTTCTTATCTTTAATATTTTATAATTTGTTGCAATATGACTACATATAAAAACAAGCCTTTGTTTATTTTTTTCCAATAATAAAATAAGTTGCCAATCTTAATAATCAATAGTAACATAATATAGAAGCTAACAATGCAGATCTGCATAAAGGGAGAACCAGCTGAACATCACTGTCTCTCCTCCCCCTCTCAAGACTTCGGGACCCTGAATGTAAACCCGGAGGCTACTCGCCATAGTAACGCTTTGTTAACGATTCTTTCTTATGGCGGTGCCACAGTTAAATATCTCTGTCCCACACAACTTGGCTGATGGCTTTACTCTTTACTTTTTACTGATAGATTCCCACAGAAATGCTGCATGCTGCCCCTTTAAATTCCCCACTGAGGATCACACTGCAGTAAAGAAGCACTAAATGAATAATAGAGTTTTTTGTCTGCGCTCTTGATGCCTCCAGGATGTTCTGCAGCTGAAGAGAACTGTAGAAGAGACGCGCTAAGTCCGATCCTGAAGGCGTTCTGACGATTACCCAACTCACAGAGAACCTTGAGGTGGGTAAAAATCTCACCCTTATGGAAAAATAACGTCTCTCAAGACACGATCGAACGCATCGAAGCCAGCCGAGTTCCAGCAGGTCCTGGAGCAGTGACCCTCTCTTGTCTCATAGATCTGGCCCGGCTTTCATTCTCTGACATTTGTGTTGGGTTTTTGTGCATTTCTGACTTAGTGAAACGTAAACGTCCTTTCCTGACGTGTGTCCGGCCTCTTTTTATGAGAGCGTCAGAGTTTGAAGGGCGGCACAGGTTCAGGCTGACGGATGAGGCAGCGCAGGTTGGTCCAGATAACATGACGTAAAAGACACTTTGTGGGCTTGAGAGGCATGCTAAGAATGGGAGATAACACAAGCAAACCTGATTCATTCATCATGTCCTGGGTTAGCCTACTTCTTTTCCTAAAAGATACGGTACAAATGTTAACGTTTCTGCACCAGAGTTGTCTTTATCACAACCTTTTTGTGGAACAAACCTTTCAGAATGAAATGATTCATAATGTTGGACCAAAAACCTTCGCCAGAAAACATGCGGTCAAGCGATTGTCGTAGAGGGATGCATGGTTTAAGGCTTTACTTTTCACAACCGGAGGTTAAGACCTGATGGAGATGGATGGCGGGGAGAAGAAATGGCATTAAAGTGGGCGGGACTGTGACGCTTTCATAGTTAACATAACATAGTTTTCATTGCTACAGGTTTGCCCAGCTAAACTATCATGACAGACAATAAAGTACAAACGAGCATCCCTGAAATCTCCTCCTACATCCACTTGTACGGTGCACATTGGAGGTCAAAGGTCAAGGATCCATTTAAGTGGCTTCAGGTCTTTGTTTTTCTCATTTTCCCTTCGGAAGGGAAAGACACAGTGTGCAATAACAACATTCCCATGAAGACATTCTTTCAACAAGTATCGACCGGCACACCAAAAAACACAAGCAGCAGTCGGACCCAGACGGGAAAGTCACGAGTTGTATAATTATGAAACCTCAATCTCTTCCACAGACGTTAATTTGGACCCCCGCACTTCATGCCAAGAGGGCGAGTCGATCTTCAGGGATCTGCAAGCTAATTACAGCTCCCAGAGTGAGAAAGTTAATCAACGTCTCCTCATCTGTGAAGCATTGTTTCCATTTTTAAACTCCATGAGGTCAAAGTTCAGAGTCCCTGTCTTGGCCGCTGTTACACGCCGGGTCTCTACATCAAACAAAGGTTTGGAAAATCAATCAATTTCGGTAGCATTTAGCTTCTTTGGTGGTTAATGTTTCTGCTCAGCTTGACAACTTACTGCACTCGGTTGGAAAATTATGCGCCAGAAGTGTTTGCAATGTGTGTAGGAGCTGCAAGAAACATGATTCATCAAGTCTGAAAGGACCCTAAACTGCAGACGCATTCCCCATAGGCCTCACGGTGAAGGATGGACTTAAGGGTGCGACTAAGTGAGCGGTTGGGCCGCAGCGTGTTCGCCTGTTTGGTGCAGGGAGGAGGATGATCTTTGACAGATCTCTGAACATCACACCCTCCTGACCACCCAGGCCTGCAGGACACACACACACCCTCTGGGTTTGGAGTGATACTCATGGATCTGTTGATGGATTAATGACTCATGTGTGTTACTGAGGCAAAAAGACTGTGTGTCTTGTGTGCGTTCTTGCATATTTCTTGTTGCTGTTTTTGCCGTTTGCGTATCAAATCGCACGTGTTGACCACTGTTGCCAGGAAACAACCGTGGTGGCCATTCTCTGGTGAAGCTTGGTGGGTGCTGCAACCCCCCCACGCCCCCCCACTACCTCACCTACCTCACTAGAAAATAAAAAACAATACCAGAATGCTGCTATAGTCAGAACTTTATTCTAGTGGGAGTTTGGATGCGTTCCGACTGTTACCGGCCACATCCTCCATGTTTATATTCTTATATTTAACAAAATGTCGCCCGATTGCATCACGAAGAAAAAAACGGTGCAATTTTTACGAAATGGTTTGTTTTTCTAAAATGAAGTTTGCACGTGGCTGAAAGAGACATGAAACTGTAGATTTTGTTTAATTCTGAAAGTTTATTTTGAAAGGCCACTGTATGCATGTAACAAGCAGAAAACACAGACGCTTATTTAATAAAAGACCCAATATGTCACCTGCAAAAAAAACGGCATGTTCTGTGTAAACAGTTTATTTTGAAAATACTTCACGTGCGAGCACAGGCCTAACACACCGTGAAGGAGCATCTAGAGTGGAAGAGACGACAAGCGGCGGATTCAAAGACAACATGTCGGCCTCTTCCATCTCCAGAACCGGCCTGGAGCCTCAAAGAGGGGAAAAAGAAGAAGCGTGTGTAAAAAAAGAAGCAGCGGCCCTTTCTTATGACCATACAAGGCCGCCTCGCATTCCTGCCTCCGACATTAACGGGCTCTTAAACTCCGTCCGCGGCGCTCGCCAAAACTCATGGGAGGAATTCTCATCCAGCTACAGCACAGAAGGCCTTTATTTATCTGTTCTTAGCATGGGGAGGGAGTATTGGCAGCACCGTGAGAGGTGGAAGGAGGGATCAGTGTGTGTAAAAGGCTAATGGGAACAAGTAAGGGTGGAGCGAATCAAGGTCAAAGAGACGCGTGGGGGTGTAAGCCTGGAATGAGAAGTTTCCTCCTGGACGCCTGCTGTCTGATTCAGAGGAAACGTGGTGCATGTGGAGATGTGGCAGCGTATCCATAGAAACAGTTACATCGTTTGGATCTGTTTTTTAACACATAACGAGGGAGGGAGTTTGCAATACAAAAAGTTGTAATGGTATTTTACAACTTTACAATTTTACAAAACTTGCTCCAGCAAGCATCTTCACATTTCCCATATTTGAAATCTTTCCCAAATGTCCCGTTTGAATAACGTTTGCTTTTAATCGACAAGTTCCACGTTGTTCTTGGCTCACACTCACGTGTCAGTGTTTTTTTTCTTCTTCTAATGATGTCGAAAAAGTCTCGATTTCACAAATGCGGGTCAGTAGGTTAATCCGTGTTTGTTCAGAGAGAGAGACATCGCTATGTCAGCTCAACTCTCACACACACACACACACACACACACCTCGTCGGTATCAGAGAGCTGTTCCATGTCATGAGTTCAGAGTCTCTGTGGAGGATTTTTCCACTGATCAGTTCTGCCCCGCCTGGCACAGCAGTGGAATCCCCTCATTAAAGCCAGATGTTATCCATAAAAAAAGACCAATCCAACAGGAGTTCATCCTGACACACACACACACACACACACACACACACATACACAAGCATTTATTTGTGCTACTGGCATGCAAGGAAGCACCCACGGTATGTTTGATGACACACTCTCACCATGCGAGCACTCACAGTGCCGATCACGCTTACTACATGCTTACCTCTTTAACAACACGTGTGTTGATGTCTCGTTGATGCTCCTGTCGCACCTGTTGCTCCCAACGTACCCCACAGACTGAGACCCTGGAGTCACGTTTCCGATGTTCACTGAGGGAATAAATCAAGAGAGAAGTTGAGTCATTCTCTCATAGACTTCTATGGGACCAGAGGAGTCGCCCCCTGGTGGCCAGTCAAGACATTGCAAGTTTCAGGTCTTCTTCAATACAGCTTGATGTTCATTTGGTAGATTATGGTTCAAGGAAGAGTCAAACAGACCATAAAGCAGAGGATGCTTTAGGGCGGGGCTACATCATGATTAACAGCTGCGTTACGTCCCTCGACTCAACTCACTTTGAGCTGAAATTCGTGCTGAGGGTAAAAGACAGAATGCGTAAACGAGTCACGCACATGAAGCAGTGATGCGTTCAGGGACCGATACTTTACCCCCTTTGTCTGCAGAAGGATGTCATCAAACATTCATCAAAAAGTGTGTTGTTTAGCATTCATAAAATGGTTGGCTAGACAAAAGGAAAACAAACATGGTGGAATTTGTACTGTTGGGGAAAAAATACAGATATTGGTCTTCAATTAAAACTTTAAATCCTTCATTTAGCTTCATATCCTCTAATCAGGACATAGCAGAGTACCAACGTCATCATGTGACCGCTTCATACTTTAACCTTGAGTGCAGCACTAATTACCTCGCTGAGAATTCAGGCTGCGGATTTTTTTCTTTTTCTTTCCAGCTTACGGCATTGAAAAGAGTGTTGGACAATGGCAGGAAAAGGGAAACCTAAACAGGGATGTTTGGCCGTAGCCACGGCGATAGCTGTGAGGACGGACACAGTAGAGAAATTATTATTACCCCATTTAACCTTTTTACAGCATCACACTGTACATAGATTGTTGATCTATTTAGTTGATTTTAAGTTAGGGTTGCTGAGGGTACATCTTTCTGTTTAGAAAGCAGTGAGTACTAAATGACTGATGATAATGTGTGTCTAATGCAGTCGTACATGTCCAGTCAGCTGTGTCAACATTCCCTTCATCTAAATTGTTTCCACGGCAACTCCCTCACTCCAGGATCACATACACCCTTGTTTACAACATGCTAAGGTCACGTGGGACTTAAGTTCATGTCTAGGGGACTCTGAAGTAGTAAAGCCACGGTTTGATTAAAGCGAGGAAAAGATAAGAAGATGTGTGAATTCACATTTCAGATGACTAAACACTGTTTGTAGCACCACCAGCACGTTTAACTGAAACAAATGTTGCCATCTGTAGGGCTGGTCTTAATATCATGCAACGCAAATAGTAACCATGGAGATCCAAAGTCAATATGGAGCAGGTTGAAGTCAATAAAACACTGTTGAGCCCAGTGAGGATCAGTTATTGTCAACATGAAGCTCTCTGTAAATACGCCAAGATGAGAGTCCGCCATTACTTCCGTGTCAAGGTCCACTGATGGAACTCAGAGACAAACAACTGTGACACTGGAGGAGCTGCAACTGCTTTTTGCAACGACCAGAACGTCATCAAACCAGATCGCAGAAGGGATGAAGAATGGAGAGCGACGAACAAAAACTAAAAAGAAGAACAGCCACCGCCATGTTGTGTGAATGAATAATCTAAATTGTCGGACCCCCCCTAAACAGACACCGATGGTTTGGCTCGAGCCGTTGACGATCCGGTAAGGCCCATAGAGACGTCCTATTGGTCATAATATTTAGACTTTTTTTGACAAAATATTTGGACAAGAAGAGAATCCTGAAATCCTGTGAATGCTTGAGATCAAAATGAAAGCAGTTTGATAACGGGTGGAGTCGAAAGGGGGGTAGAAAGGTAGAACGTCTGGTTTGGAATTGTGGCTGGTTTAATATCTTTTCCAAGATGGTCTTTGAGATGTTCGCTACCAAGAGTCCTCATCTAAAACACCTAAAAACTGGATTCTCTGTCGGCAAGAAAAACCGCAGCGCTGAAGGTCTCACTGGACACGATCGCTCCTGTTCCCTGCAACGCCAGGCCTTCTACATGAAGGTCATTGCATAGCCGAAGGAATGGCTCAGATTCCGATTGGGTTTAACCTGGATGATGAGCGAGCTACTAGACATGCTCGGAGGGTATGAATACCTCGTCTCATCCAAGATTTTGATCAAAAATAACAAATTTCTGAGGAGTCTGAGGCAGAAACCATCAGTCACCTCTTCCTTAACTTCTCTGTCCTGGTCTGATATCAAAGTGATGATACCTTTGCATGCCTGAACGTCTCTCTCGTCTTTCTAGTGCAGGTATGCAATCCCGAAGCTCCAACTCTGTTCTTTTGGTTCCTCCGAGTAGCTGACGCATAGTTTTACATTACGTTTAATGACTGGTTTGGGTTTTTTTGCACACTGAGGCAGGAGATGAAGAATGTGAGCGGAGATGATCTGCACTTATCTCCGATGGTTGCGTCCATCAACGGGGAGGTGTCGCTGCTCTTTGCAGGATAGATGATGTCATCTTGCAGCTTTTACAGTCACAACCGGTTCAAACTGTATTTAAAACTACACACAAAGGGCCATCACGCACAAAATATTAAAAAACAAACAACAAAATTGGGTTGCCGATGCAAATTTCACTTGTTAAACTGCAGAACAATGCAAATTCAAGCCTGAAACAAATCACATGTAAATTCACACAGGCGCTCGGGTGACCTCGCCCTTCTCTGCAGGGGCTCATACTATTTTAGAGTATTTTAGTCCCTTGCAGGTGACACCAATTAAATTGGAGAAAGCAAGGGGGAATGTTGGGGGGGGGACACGCGTTCCTGCAGCCGGCGGTTTGGTCACATCAGGTCGGCGGAGGGGAAACAGCAGCTCGGCTTCGGGCCCGCTGCCATGTGAGACAATGGGGCTGCTCAGGGATGGAGCTTCCTTGAATTGTGCACGGTTTCCACGCTGTGGACGAAAACACGAGCCCCTCGGAGGTGGTTTTTCCATCAAGGCCGGGCCGCTGAACAGTTCCCACCACAGTGGGACAGATGATAAAAGGTGCAAACTATGAGATCCACAGCGTAAAGCGATTAGGAGTCATTTACTACTATGACTTTATCAGACTTCTTTTTTTGCTGGCCGTTAGGCTGTCTCAACCCTGCGTTCTCTCGGAGACAAAATATCCGTTGTGAAAAATGGCAGTGAAGTAGGAGTCATATTTTTCCTTCACCCTACGAGCCACACCTTCAACGGCTGCAGAGGAGACCACTAGGCCGGTGGGGGCGGGGGGGGGCGCGGCAACAGGTGCAAGCAAGCGACCTTGAGTAGGGAGAAGTGTGGGAGGACCACAGCTGGTAAAGTTACATTACATATGTATCAATTTACCAAAAATAATCATTTAAGTGCATAGTGTTTATTGGCTGGAACAGAGGGTCATGAAGCAGTTTCCAGTGTTTCAGGTCCACAAGGCACCATTCTTTTATTACAAGCGTACAGTTTAAATCCATCAGGACACATTTGGCTGATCCAAAAGGATGAAACATTTTCTAACTCAAGGTTTTCCCTTTCTAAATACAGAATGTTAATACTTCTAATTAATACAATATTAGACCCACTTCGTGGAGCTAATGGAGATCCAAACACGAGCAGTCAAAGGCCACGAAGCGGAATAATAACTGCATCGGATACTTACAAGATTAGAGAAAAGCTCAAGTCACAATAATCCACATCTCCAACTGTACATTGTTTAGCCACAGTCCCACTCACGCTATTCCAAATATCTGTCATACACCTGCCTGTCCAACACCTGATTACAGGGCTGCCGTTTGTAGAGCGGTAGTTTGTACAGGACATCTCATGAACTGGTAACGGACGGAGTACACTAGATGTTTATTACGTTGTTTTTCCCTCAACACACTCCTACACACACCTGTGCAACAACTCTGAAAGTATTATGAGCGTCGAGGCAATTTACTCAAAATCTCTCAATGAAATACTCTCTGAAGGAAAATGACTAAATGTTTGTCACTACTATCAATATAATGATTTGGATAATTATATTATTTCACTTGGGTGTGGAATACAGAACCCCAGAGCTTTGCTGGTATTGCTGCATAGAGACTCAGTAGTTTGTTTCAGGAAGTAAAAAGGCGGCACATTAGAAGAGTAAAAAAAACAAAAAAACAAAACATAAAATGAACATCATCAGTAAGAAAACAGTGAAGAAGCAAACCGTTAATGTGGCGTTGAAAGAAGAGGACAAAAGGCAGATGAGGCACGAAAGTACAACTTTTGGACTCCAGAGGAGATGGACTTATCGATTCTTTGATCGGATTCAGTCATGGACACAAAGAGAGGAGCCCCCCCCTACGTTTAAACGTTTCTGTATTAGACGCGTCAGGCACTTTGATGTCCACGCCCCCAGGACCAATCCCTCCCCTCGCCCAGGGTGTTTAGGGGGTTTTCCCGTTGGTTTCTCAAGTGGCGGCGGGTAAAGTCGGCCTGTGTCCCTCTCACGCCGCGACCTTCTTCTTGCACTCCACGGAGCAGAACAGGAAGCCCTGCGCCGCCATGAAGCGCTCCCCACCAGGCACTTGGAGCAGCCGGAGCACTTGAAGCACTGCGGCTCGGCGTGCCAGTGGTGCTCGCCGTAGGAAACCCTCTGGGCCTCAGGCTCCACCGGGTTCTGGCAGGCGGCGCATTTCTGGGAATGACGGGAGGGACACGGCAGCGTCAGGGAAACTGCTTCGACATTTACACTTTTTATTTTGTCACAAGTTCCCAATAAGTCCCAATAAGAAATTGGAGTGGTGATAGGAAAACACCGTTTTCTTCCAAGCCCAACAAATGATTTTGGAAAATGAATCTTTGATTCTAAAGAGAATGTTTGACTGGAAAACTATTAAATTCTCCATTGCAAAAGCTTTGGTGATACTAGTGGAATTTAGGACCGCTCGACCCAACACACACACACACACACACACACACACACACACACACACACACACACACACACACACACACACACACACACACACACACACACACGGATAAATAAGAGGGGAACAGCGGCAGCTCACCACGGCGTAGCTCTTCATGTAGCACGGCTGGCAGACGGGCTTGTCGCTCTCCATCACGTACGTCTCTCCGGCGAGGATGCAGTCACACTCGAAGCAGCAGAAGTGCTTCAGGTGCCAGTTCTGGCCCTCGGCCTGAGTGTACTCATTACTGAAGATCAGCTGTGGAGAGACCCCAATTGTAGAGTGATTGTGATGATGATGATGATGATGATAACAACTAGCTAATTAGTTATAGATGAGATGTTCTGTTTTGCAGTTGCTGCTTCATAAAGATACAGAGTACCTATCGGACACCACTACATTCAAAACAAAGTGCTTGATTTGACGCGCAGTCCTGGAGTCAGATTTTCTCTCAGGGGCCATTGGACACACGAAAGGAAGGCTAGCAGCACTCCCCTAAATGAGCAGCTCATAATCGATTTCATTCAAACATAACTCATTGCAACCTGCGCTAACGTTAGCCGTTATTTAGCCGAGCACTTAGTTAGTTCCTACTGATCGGGGGACAGAACAGGGTGTCAAAACACAGACGGGTACTACTTAGCACACGAGGGACGCGATGTACCACGTCTCCTGTGCAGCGTGCTAGCCGGTACTCGATCCGGCAATCTGCTCCGTATCAGAGGGCAATTTCTTCCACAACACCGGTGTCGGAACGACTCCGCCCTCACCTCGTCGCAGCCCCCGCAGCGCGGCTTCTCGCTGTCTCCGTAATGGCGTCCACAGAAGAGCTTTCCCTTCTTCCAGAAGTAGATCATGTCCACCAGCAGCTCCTGGCAGGTGCAGCACACGAAGCAGGCCGGGTGCCACATCTTGTCGTAGCCGGCCCGCTCGGCGTAGACGGCCGGCTCGCCCAGACGCATCGGCAGCTGGCAGTGATGGCACGACTTTGGGAGAAGAGAAGAAGAGGAGCTTGAATTCATCAGGGATTTTGTCAAACTGCAAAAAGTCCAAAATGAGTTGTAAAAGTGTAAATAGTTTAAAGTGCTGTCAAATACTGATAATCACCAAGTGGTACTCCCCCCAAAAAGGATGCAGGTTAAAATGTGTGGCTATTTACATAAAATACTGTGTTAGTACAGTCAAATCTCCTTATGTCCTTGAATAATAAGAATGATTATGTACTTCCACTCAGTGGACACAAAGGACAATATCCTTCCATTCCAGGACAGGGTAGAGAGGGCCGACAAACAGGATGCTAAAAGCAAACATTTGAACTTTTGCCTTGGATTCACACTCATGGGCCGAATTCCACTTTATAAAAACTGATGCTATTAAATCAACATGGTGGAGTTACAGAAATGCAGCAGTAAGCAAATACAAAGTTGTTAAGTTGTTGTGGGCAATCAAGACGGCGGCTAAAGCCAAGAGAGAGAATGTGTGAACAACTCTGCACATGAGACAATGTGAAGACAATGTGACTCATGACCCGTTTCGAGTTAGAATGGAATCAACGAAGGCCGGGTCACAGCCGGTCATATGGCTCCACCTAGTGTCCAGTTTAATAAGGCATTGCAGGAACTCTAGGATCTACAGTACTTAACGGTCACCAAGTTGTACAACACAAACATCTGAGAGGGCCCTACTCTTCAACGTACTTTTTAAAGTCAGAAGATTAAGAACAATTTGAAGTGAAAGGTCAGAAACACAATCTGTGACGAGGCGCTACAGATATAAACGGCTTCATTTCAAGGGTTCAGCTTTAATGTGTTAGAACATGCATGTAGCACTGTATGGTTATCAGCTCTTGTAAACACCCAATGTGACTTAGAGCCATAATCATAAAATATTTTAAAGCATTTCATAATGCTTATAAGAATTCATAAAACATTATACTCACTATTTTTTTGAAAGGAGCATAATCATAATTCCCAAAATTATAATTACATTACAGGTCATTTAGCTGACGCTTTTATCCAAAGCGACTTACATTACATTTTTAACCCATGGCATTTTTACATTTTTGCCTGGGGAGCAATTAGGGGTTAGGTGTCTTGCTCAGGGACACTTCGACATGGGACATGGGGCAGCAGAGACTTGAACCACCAACCTTGCGGTTCCCAGCGCCCCCTCTCTACACCTGCGCCACGTGAGTAGAAGTTACCATGAGCAATCAATTTGCCTTACAGTTTAATGTTTATGCCATAGTCTGTATCCAGTATCCAATATATCCCTGTTGTTAATGAAATAATAACTTCAACCAGCTACTCTTATATGGCTGCCGATAATGTGTAGTTGTACAGGAGAGAGACTGCTTACAAAGGTCCGTTGTGGTAGTCCAGCTTGCTGAGCTCCAGGGACGCCCATGGCTCCAGCAGTGGCAGTCGTACCCATGGCTCCTCCAGTGGGAGCGGCGCCAGTGCCTCCTCCAGTGGCAGCGGTACCCACGGCTCCTCCAGTGGCACCCGGGACTCCTCCTGAGAAGGGTGCAGCTCCAAAGGCAGCACCACCGGCGCCTGCAGCCCCCGGGCCGGAACCGGCGCCTGCAGCCCCCGGGCCGGAACCGGCGCCTGCAGCCCCCGGGCCGGAACCGGCGCCTGCAGCCCCCGGGCCGGAACCGGCGCCTGCTCTAGCTACAGCGACCCCGGCACCCGGTTCGTAGCCTGCTCCTCCGGCCCCGACGCCAGCTCCTCCCTGCCCTCCAGCCTGAGCCAGTGCCATCTCCTCGGGCAGCATGACGTCTGCGACTCCAAGGGCCTCGTCCTTGTACTTGCGGACAAACTGCTGCATCTGCTTGACCTCGGCAGGGCTTAGCTCGTGGCACTTGGATGGGTCCTGGTCGTGCTCAGGCAGCTGGCGGGCCATCTGCTGCCGGCGGTAAGCGGCTCCCTCCGTACCGGCCACCGGGCGCTTCTCGACGGGGAGTAGCTCGATGTAACGCACCGCCTGGAGGTCAAAAAGAAAAAACGTTTGCGATGAAATAAAGTAAAATCGCATGAAGGACGCGGACAAGACAAAACAAGGGTCCTACAGATACAGAGCTAGACTAAAGAAACAGGACCTTCTGGTCGTAACTCAAAGCAGGGGATCGGTAAAATGAGGAAAGCTTAAAATTCATTATTATTTCAAAAATGTTCCCGTTGAAAAATCTTAAATCCTGTCTCAGGACCGCTGAGTTCGATCTATATATCTATATCTATATGATACTTTAAAACGCTTTAATTCTAGTTAATTCTACTACTTTGAACTCTTACCAGATACTTATTGGCTACCGGTGGCGCCCACTCATAGGTGACACTCTTCATAGGTACGTCTTTGGTGACTGGCACCAAATTGGCCGACGTGGCACCGACAGCTACCGGCACTTTGTTAGCCTTGACAGGCGCGATGCCGGGTGGCACCTGATGACCCTGAGGATGAGCCTGAGGGTGACCCTGAGGGTGACCCCCAGGGAGAGCCTGAGCCCAAGGCTGAGTGCCGCCGGGTGCCGAGCCCACGGCCGCTGCAGTGGGCGCAGCCGACCCCGCGGCGCACGCCGGAAGCCCCTCGGCGGAGGAGGCACTCGGCGGCACCGCGTAGGCGGTGCTGGAGCTGGGCAGAGTGATGGTCACCATGGTGCCGTTGTAGCTGGGGATGCCGTCCGTCTTCAGCTTGGCGATGAGGCCGGTGTACTTGGTGTCCTCGAACAGCTTGCCCACCTTCTTGTTCTCCTCCGAGTTCATCTGCACGTTGTGCTCCGTGAGGCCACATTTGCAGTTTCGGCAGATCTTTCTGGAAAGAGAGACACATTTACGTCGCTGCTCATTTACTTTAGTTACCCAGAAGGTCTCCGGTCTGGACACTGGAAGTCAAAGGGGGGCGGTTTGCCAACGTTGAACCCATTTCTGTGACAACCTGAGAAGCGGTACAAACCTCCAGAAGTGAAGCTCAAAGCCCTCGCACTTGTCCTTGCATTTCAAACAGGCCGCTCCGGCTCCAAACTCGTGCCCAAGGGTCATCTGCAATAAAGAGGACACAGGGGAGGTGACGTAGTCTTAAAAGCGAACTAAAGTCACTCCGATTGGAGTGAACGGTAACTTCTCCATTCAGAGAAATCTTTTTGGGAGACTTTTCGCATCAACTCCCAAAATTGCAACGAGCAATTTTTGTCTTCTGTCTTTTTAAACATCTGCATCGTTCAGTTTCAAACAACGCTGACGTCCACAGTCAGCGGCGGTTCATGACCTTATATGGTTACGCTGCTGCAAAGCCTGCTGGAGCCCCTTCGGTCAGAGAGAGGTATTTTGACCCAAACAGATACTGGAGACAGACCAACATTCAGTTTACTCTCCTGAGAGAGTGGAAAAAAACAATAGACTTACTATAATTTAAGTCAATAAAGGTTTAACTGAATTGACCAAAATAACCCCAGTTCCTCCGGAGTTCTACGGAGACACTTTATTATGAGATCATTTCTGTCTGTGACTTGGCACCATGACTCATGCTGCAGGGTGAACCAGCTCCGACACAAATTACAGATGAGTGGCGTTTACGTCTGGAAAGACCACCTGCTGAGGATTGACTTCGCTAACAAAAGTAGCATTTTAGTGCGCTATTTAGGTTGGACTTCTTTCCATTAGAAACTAGAGCTCTGGTTCACCAGGAACAACTTGGATGATGATGATGATGATGATGATGATGATGATAATAATAATTTCCCAGCCTGGCTACCAATTACCTCTACCTCCTTTTTTGCAGGGGGGGGGGGGTGTAGTCATAATGAGTTTAATAGAGCATGACATCACCCAAACACACCGGGGGAATACATTGTCCAATTTGTCTACACCTTTACTGTGAACATAATTGCGTAGGCGTTCTAAAACATCAATATTGTAAAAAGCAGAAGGCTTTCTGGCACAATAACCACGCCGAACTTCGCAACAGCACGTATAGTTTGCTTAACAATCACCAGCACGTGAAATAGCTCGTGAGTTCGGTCGCCACGCGCACCGACGCTTCGATTAACCGAAATTCAAACGGAGTGCCGCGTCGAGCTCTTATCAGACGGAAACTCAAGCGGAAGTAGGAAAAACAAAACGCCAAAAGGGGAGTTGTGTAGACCTGTCCAACTGTCACGTGATGCTCATACCGATCGCATGAATCGATGAAGAGTTATTGATATTGACTCAGAAAAACACTAAAAGCCGAAAAACAAAAGCCGGAAGGTCAGTCGGCGGCGAACGCAACTTCTCTCGTCACCTGTCCGGTGCTTCTGCACACCTTGTCAAGGCGTTCCCCGGTCAGTCGGAGGGGGTGGAGGGGGGGGGGGGGGGAGGCTTACCTTCTTTACTTCCTTCTCTATCTCCATTTTTCTTTTGGTCCGTCAGCGCGAACTTTACTCGGTTTAAGACGAAGCGAACAGCCGCGACTGGGAAAAACGGTCAAAAGGGAAAAAAACAAATGACAGAAAAAGGACCGAAGAAGCACAAAGTTACAACAGCTCGGCCCACTCTGTTTCTTCTCCTCCGACGTCCCGCTGAGCACTTCCGTCAAGCTACAAAGATCAGACAACACCGTTCCGGTCAAAGCTTTTATGACATGTAAATGTATGCGGGACAAAAATCTGTATAAGATGTACAGAAAGATCATTTTGAATACATAATAGTATTTTATATAATAATGAGTTAAATGTAATTTTCATTTGGGGGGAGATGAGCACCTATGTACTACGTTTAAAACATCCAGTCTTAGGCAAAATGTAAAGTAAATGTAAGTCGCTTTGGATAAAATCGTCAGCTAAATTACATGTAATGTATCAAGTTGAAATGTCACCTTTTCAAGTTCATCGTAACTAACAAATTTGCTGGGAAATATAAACGTTTACATTTTAAATTTACGGTTTCACGGTGACTGAACCTATTTTATCCACAGAAAAATAACTAGCAGAAAATATTGATATCAGGTTCAAATGAATAAATACAATGTCACTAACACAAAATATTTTTTTCTGTCTTTTACTTTGAAAGTACAAATATCTAATTTCCGAAAATGCCTTCACGTCCTCTCTGGAGCTTGATGCTTCCCTCGCTGTGGTCCCGTTCATCCTTCATTGATCTTAAAGGATCTTAACTTCCGCTATGACTGAACTTCATGCAGACCAATAGGAGAAGAGAAGGAGGGCTAGAGAGCTCAGGATGACCAATAAGAGAGCAGAAGGGGCGTGTTCTTGTCACACAAAGGATGAGGTGCTGGTTGACCTTTTTGACGCATTCTACCAATATCTTTTTTTTGTATCCTTGTCATGATTTTTTTTTTTTTTTTATGAAAGCCATATTGTAGGGAAAAAAGACGTGTCTTTGTTTTTAAAGACAGGCACTAAACACACTGAAATTGCAACATCAAACCGCAGATATTTTGTGGTTTTTAATGAAATTCCGTTGCCGTTGCCTCGGTTACTGGAAACAATGTGGTTAGTAACTTCCCCTGTGAACTGCCGCTGGCCTTCTCTACAGGAAGCAGCACCGTCACACCCTGATGCTGTTCTTTTCCTCACCAGCAACACTTTTGTAGGTTTTAATTAAACGTTTCAGCTGTCTAAAATCTCTACACGGATGTTGTCATCTCTTCTTCATAATCCAAAATGAATAAACACACGTTCACCGAGGGAATAAATCCATGCTCCATGTTTAAATCAACAGCTTGCACCACTTGCACTACTTGCACTACATATTCTGATTCTGATTCTGATTAGCCAACAAATTACAGTGAAGTGAGAACTTTTTAGACACATAAAATCAGTGGATCAGTTCCAGTTTATCTGTCCTGACCCTCCCACCTAACAAATAGTTCTTGTCTACATGTTTCACCAAAAAAGGATTGCATAATAATAAGGAAGTTAAATATTCTCAAAATGCTGCTTCATTGTGACGAAAACAGACCTCAGACACGTCTTTGCTGTCCACCCTTCACAGTTGATTACTTCGCCGAGGCCTGAACCCGCCAGGCAGGAGTCAAGGACACCTGGGTGGGACACATGTCTTCTGTACCGTAAGTCTCTGAGAATCCGAACCCCCCCGCAGGTGTTTTCCACACCTGCCTCACGCTTCTGTCTCTTTACTTTTCCTCTGCAGTGTCCTTATCAGCTGGGTTGCATAACACAGACCTGCAGATTCCGGGACGCGCACGTATAAGCAAGTGCCAGCGTATTGATAGGTGGTGTCGGGGGTCTTTTACGTAACTCAGGTGTGTGCTGAATATCTTATCATAAGGTCGATATGAGGAGGGAATTAAATTCTACAAGCATTCCTTCGCTTTGGATAAAAGCATCAGCTAAATGACATGTGAGGAGATGTAATGTAACTCTAAAATGTTATCTGATGTTTGTCGCTCAATGCTTCGATGTAACTCGTTTGGAAGTGGAGGGCACATTTTTAGGCCACGCAACAGATTTTGAAAAAATACCGTGGAAATGCAGCAGATGTGGATTTGTGTCCGGGGGACACCTCCTGTTGTCTCGTGTCTGTCTTTCCTGCTAACACCTGGAGTTTACAGCCCAGGCATCCCAACAGCTGGTTTGAATCCAGCTGCTTGCTGATTGAGGTCCCGCCCCCCCCCCAAAAAGAGGAAGCTTAAACAGCCGGTGGAGGCCGGCGGCTTCATCTTCAGCAGTGACACTCCATCTTGAGCTGTACACGGAATTCAGACCATTTTTTGTAGATATCCTCACAACATCTGCAGGAAGAGAGTAAAGCTGTGAAAGTCTGACAGCACAAATAACAACCATATTTATTCTGGAGGGAAAATCTATAAAACTGTTCAAATCAAATATTGTCCTTTTTGTCTCGTGAAGCCCGAGCTCCCTCGGTGGAAAACTGTATATCAAATACACACATTGGAAACGTCGACATACTTTGAATACGCTGATACAAATGAACCAATAAATGGTCCCATTGGGTTGAATTTATCACATCCCAAGACTTTGTATTTCCATTCCTCAATTAGTTTTGTATGGTACCAGCAGATACCTTCAAAATGTGGAATATGGAAGAGCATAGCTATATTTTCATCTGGAAGTCTTTTTACTTTGAAATGTAAAAAAATGAAAAAAGGTATTCATTCATTCTTTCTTCAAACAAACAAAACAACTTTTTGTATTTATTTGTATTTCAATTGATCAGTGTATAAGTATAAAGTATAAGATTGAAGTATAAGATTCCCTCGGGTAATACAGAGTTAATATAAATGAAATAGATCTGAACCTTCTTTGTTTCCTCATAACTTGGTTGTGATTTATAAGCTGCAAACTTGTATAAGTAAAGTAAAGGTAATTTTTTTTCATGAAATCTTCTGGCTTATAATTAAATGAGGTTTTATGTTTTTTATCAAAATTCATAAGCCAAAGACTTTTTTAGGGTTTTCTAGTGAATTTCCTAACATTTTACAAAGCAGAAGGAGAAAACGGTTCATCAGGACCGAATCATGAACTCAGCGGGTTCCACAGAGAGATGAACCGGGCCCATGGGTACACTGAGCACAGTACATTCTGCTTATCTCCAGGCCGCCGTGGGAAAGGGACCAGCCGTTGAAACACACCAACCGTCGCCGTTGAGCAAGGCTGTGGGTTTGTTGCACGTGACCCGGTTTCGTTGAGGCCATAAAAGGCTGCGCTCGGGCCACACCAGGTTCACACCCGTAAGGATGAGGGGACTGATCGCACTCGCTGTGCTGTTCGTGGCCGTTGTCGCCAAGGAGACGTTCGAGGGGTGAGTGGTCCTGATACAGATGTGCGCGTGTGAAGGAAATGTGACAGAGTAGTGAATCACATGAGCGTCTATTTGACCTCGGCCCTACTGGTCCATGTTGATGGGTCCTTGGTCAAGACAACTAACTATGTTGGATGGTCCTGATGGGCAGGTGGCCCCTCACATGGTAGCCCCCGTCCTCAAGGGTGGATGATGACGATCATCACCAATACTTTTTTTTTTCTGAGGAAGTTGCAAAGATTACATCTTTAGATCATCGGAGGAGCGTCGGTCTTACTTCACCCCGTGTGTGCTAACTCCTCTCTTGGCCCGGGCGCTTGAGTTGAGTTAAATGTTCCCTTTTTTTCAGTCACCAGGTGCTTCGCATCACTGCGAAGGATGAAGCTCAGCTGGCCCTCATCAAGGACATGGAGGAGATGGTCCACCTCCAGGTCACTTATTACCCACTAACATTAACTCCAAATATGTTCTACAATGAAAAGGAGATTTTTGTTTTTGACTTTTGTTTCTTGGGCCTGAATGTGTTCAGCTGGACTTCTGGAGGGGGGTGACTGATGTGGCGACTCCCGTGGATGTGAGGGTTCCCTTCCACAGCCTGCAGTCCGTCAAAAGGCACCTGGAGAGTCTGGAGCTCGAGTACCTCGTCATGATCCAAGACCTTCAGGTACAAAAGCTACAAACAGAACTACGTATTCTTGGGTTTCGGGGGTTCAGGATTTTGATGGAGATTCGGGGCCCAAAGCTATGAATAAATGTTTGGATGGCTTAAATAAATCAAATGTTGTTATCCCGCAGGTGATGCTCGATGAGGAGAAGCTGGAGATGGAGTCCGCTGCTCGCGTCGCTGAGCCCAGAAACACAGAAAGCTTTGACTTCTCCAGGTACCACACCATCAGCGAGGTCAGTGCTCGCTGGGAGGGAAAAGGATTTGTGCATAGAAAAAATGACTTTATGAAACTGAGACCTATTTTTAATCCAGATGGGGAAATATTCCTGCAACTAAAACAATTCACCAAAACGTCACTCTTTGTGGTCATTTTCTATCCATTTGTAATTGTTTGTGTTCACTTGTTGTAATTTTATCTTTCCATGGTCGTTGTGAGTCTCTTTGTGATTTTTTTGCAGTTGTTTTGCATCTCTTGGTTTATGTCGAGACTCTTTACAATAGTTTTGTCTCCATTTGTGGTCATTTTGGTCTCATTGCAGCCTTTTAGTGTTTCTTCGTTGTCAGTAAACTCTCCATGCTCATAGCAAAAGCTTGAGTGGAGCTCTCCAACTAGATTCTTATGTTGCATCCCGTTCCAGACGTTCCAACCCTGACCCTTCTGTTCTGTCGTTGGTTCAGATCTACAGCTTCCAGGACATGCTAGTGGCGGAGAATCCCAACCTGGTCAGCAAGATCGTGATCGGTCAGAGCTACCAGGGCCGTCCTCTGAATGTGCTCAAGGTAAATAAAACACACTCAAGTCATTAAGCAAAGGTAAGTAATCAAATTATAAAGGAATGAGCACAAATAGAACACACCATGGTTCTCTTTAAAGGCTTGTGGATTAGTCGAGAGCTTTCTTGACAATATGGAGCCATTTGTTCATGAGGTGTTGAATACTAACACTACTACCTTCCTGTAGTTCAGCACCGGTGGAACGAACCGCCCCGCCATCTGGATCGACACTGGGATCCATTCCAGGGAGTGGGTCACGCAGGCCAGCGGCACGTGGTTCGCCAAAAAGGTGCTTTGACAATCCTCCTTTTGGTTGGAGATTTAGTTTCACACCGCTGACCGGCACCTTTCTGTGAGTAGATCGCGAGCGACTACGGACGCGATAGCGCCCTCACCGCCATCCTCGACAAGATGGACATCTTTGTGGAGATTGTGACCAACCCCGATGGCTTCTACTTCACTCACAACTCAGTGAGTATTTCATCGCCGGTTTTTACTGACTGATTTCCTGCCACATGCGATATAAGATCGACAATATTGATTGATGGTACTTTTTAAAAGGCCTCTCATTCACTGATGATTGGTGATTCCAGAACCGCATGTGGCGCAAGACGAGGAAGCCCAACCCCGGCTCCAGCTGTGTGGGAGTTGACCCCAACAGGAACTGGGATGCTGGTTTTGGAGGTAAAGCCTTCGTTTTGCTAATAAAATGCACCAAGTCACCGAATGTCGTCGTCAAAACGTATTTCTGAACCTCCAAACCTAACGTGGAAAGCAATTATCAATCAAGGTTTCAAATATGACAAACGCATTTCTCACACCATTGGCTTTGCGAGTGTCTCAGGAAGTGTTCGGAGGGTAATTCTCTCTGACTGTAGGCGCTGGAGCCAGCGGGAACCCCTGCTCAGAGACCTACCGGGGAGAAAAGGCTCACTCCGAGCCCGAGGTCAAGTCCATCGTGGACTTTGTGAAGTCCCACGGTAACTTCAAGGCCTTCGTCTCCATCCACTCCTACTCTCAGATGCTCCTGTACCCCTACGGATACACCACGACTCCGGTCAAGGACCAGGCCGAGCTGGTAAAATAAAATCCCACTCTTTGTCTTCGAAGACTTTTTCACCCAGAACATTTATTGTAGTTGTGGTTTTGCCGTTATGTCAGAAATGTAAGAACATGCAGCAGCACTGTGTGATAATAGAGGTTCATGTGTGATTTGCTTCCCGCAGCACAATCTGGCTAACAAGGCCATCACCGACCTGGCATCTCTGTACGGTACTCGCTACAGATACGGCAGCATCATCAACACCATCTGTAAGTCGGAAGGATTTCACTCATTTCCTGCAATAGTCCAAAATAAATGTAAAAAAGTCCCCATCTCTAGAAAGAAATAGCCTAAACAGCCCCCGTTTCCCTTTACAGATCAAGCCAGCGGGGGCACCATTGACTGGACCTACAACCAGGGCATCAAGTACTCCTACACCTTCGAGCTGAGGGACACCGGCCGCTACGGCTTCATCCTGCCGGCCAATCAGATCATCCCCACCGCCCAGGAGACTTGGCTGGCTCTGATGGCCATCATGGACCACACCTTCAAGAACCCATACTAATCTGTGTGTGTGTGTGTGTGTGCATTGGAAGGGCCCGTGGAGAAGACATAGTAACATCATCGTCACGACTCTTTAACGGATGAATAAAAAAGCCCACCTGAAAACTTTTTATCTTGGGTGCAGTTTTTCACACGTTTATGCACATTCGATTTATCTATTATTTCACATCCTTCAAACGTCTCTCTACTCAGACATGGTCCAACATGAGACATAAAAGACAGAATAAAAAATAGGACTTGTATTGGTTGATATTTCTACCAATATGATCACAGGATTTATTTTTGTTTTATTTGATGCTTATGGGTTACATTTTTACATTTTCTTTCTTCTTCACATTTCTGCCATTACCCTGATGTCACCAGAATATGAGGTTGTTACGTTCTTCACTACCGAATTACGTTAGCATCTCTCAAAAAGAGATTTTATTCAAAGTCATTGAACAAAATAAATCATTCAGTTGCTTTTGCCAACGTTCTGACTCATTGAGATACAGCAAACAATCATACCCTTTAAATCCGACACTCATTTACAAATAAAATTATGTGATCCGACTCCATACATTACTATACTCTATAAGTGTATTCAGAATAAAAAGATCAATGTATTAAGTCACCAATATGCCAACAAAATAAAAAGGCCACACAGAAATACTGCTTATCAATGAAACAGTACTTATAAATGCAACAGTGCCTTTCACACACACACACACACACACACACACACACACACACACACACACACACACATCAGCGGCTGAAAGGGTTGTCGTCAGTTAAGGGATCACAGCAATGAGAATGTGGAGAAAATTACAAAATGACTGCAGCTTTTCATAATATTACAAAATGGATCCTTATTTAAATGACACCCCATCCGTTACATTATAGGCAACATTTATTTGTCAGCTGTCACACTGACGAGTCAATTTGGACCTTTGTGGATGAAGTAATGTGAAAGAGGAGAAAGGATTAGAACGGAATGACATCATCATCTGTTGAGGTTCATCAGCTGGTGGATGAAAAATAATGAACAAAAAAAAAAATCATCAGTTCTCAGACGAGGCCCTGTGCAAAGATTGCAGCATTTATTGAATATTATAAGAAAAACAAAATACTTCTGACGTAATATCTCTTAGAGGAGGATAAAGAACTCGGCATTACTATGAAACAAAATGTCTGTGTTACGTTCCTACGGATTTAAAATCTCCTTTTATTGATTACAAATATTTCTATAATTTCCCCTTTTGTGTCGTTTCAGAATTCAATACTCAGCGTCCGCGTGCTAAAGGGACGTGAGCAATAAAGGGACCTTGTGTCGGAGGTACGTGGAGGAGGAGGGGGGGGGGGGGGGTTATTTCCAGGCTCTGCTGCTCTGAACTCGCGCGCCGTCCCTCAAGGAGACGGAGGAACTCTGTCTGCTGCGAGCGCTGGACGCTTTGGAGGCGGAGCTACTGGACGACGTGCGGCTGGACGACATGCGGCCTGCGGGGAACACGCGCGGCCTTCATTTCACATCTCACTTTCTTATTCATGTCGTCATGGAGCAAAGACATATCGGGGGGGGGGGGGTTGAGTGTGAACAAACACACAAACTCACTGCTGGAGTTGCTGGGGATGAGTGTCTCCTCCAGCTGCTCCTGGATCCTGCTGAGCTCGTCCGACGTGAACCGCCACCTCTCCTCGGCCGCCGCCGGTGGCGGCGCGGAGCTCCTCTTCGCCCTCAGCAAGGGGGAGGAGCACGAGGCCGGGATGGAGCCCGTCGTCATCCCCTCTGGAAATCTCTGAGCGATCACCTTTAAACCTGGGAGACGACAGCAGGGTGTGGTTGGGGGGAGGGGGTCTCCTTCGAGATGACTGTCTTTGCTCTGGATTAGATCGCGCTTTTCTTTTTAACTTTACCCCCGGAGAGCAGAAACAGGTTGTCGAACCCCCGCTGGCACATGGCGGTGGCCGCCTGGCCGGCCGTCCTCTCGTCCTCGTCGTACACGATGATGATCCTCCCCGCGGCGTTCTTCTGTGAAGTGTCGCGGGTTAAGTTCACAATCACAGTGGGCCTTGTTTTTCCATAGATTTTGGTCTCCACACAGATTCGCAGGTTTACTACGTGATGAGGAAAGACAGCAGGTGAATCTTTTGTTGGAGGATACATATTCCAGCACGTCTTTGGTGTAGGGGTTCATTGTCCGAGACAGAGTGGCGATGGGGAAGCTGTGAGCTGTTGGACAGAGAGAGAGATAGAGAGAGGCGGTTAAGAGCAGCGGGAGGAATCCGATGATCCGGCTCCGTGTATTTATTCGTTTTAATCTCTTACCGCTGATGATGTGGCAGCAGTCGTATTGGTCGCGGTCTCGCACGTCCAGCAGCAGGTAGGGGCAGTCGGGGTAGGGCCCGTCGGCGCGCTCGGGGCCCGGCGCGTTCCGGCGGCTCTGGTCCACGTTCATCTCCCCCATGCCACTGATGACACTGCGAGAGGTGAAGAGGTTTAGGCTAATCGGTGTCAAGAGTTCCTGGTTCTCCCGGGTCTCCCTTCCTTCCGACGGGCCCGGCCACACAGCTGTTTCTGGGGAACCATTTCTAACGTCATGCGGTAGAATCCGACCTGATGACGGGCATTAATGATCCTGATGTAGAAATAGACAATATTCTTATGTGGGTCATAAAGAACAACCCTTTTTAAAGTTCCATGTGTGAACTTTAAATTAATAGCGACTTGTGGGACTCGTTCTTATTTCTTTCTTTCTAAAAAAGAAAGAATAGTCATTTAATTTGTTGAAATGATTTTGTGTCCTAAACAGTCAGTTTAACAGCTGCTGGTGTGTTTAACCATCAATATGCCGTTAAATACAGATCAAACCTAGATGTTGGTATATTTAATCTAGTTTTACCTTTAGTCGAAGACTCGCAGCACACCACCACTTTCCCCTTGTGTGGGTTCACCCCAGCCCCGCCCTACTTTCTCTCTCCATCTGCCCTCCCCTGAGGGGGAGGTGCCCTAAAAGCTCTGTTACCCTCCAGGGGGGGGACACAGGTGAGCGGAGGGGACGCTGAGAACACGTTGCGGGTATTGTGTGATAAAGGGTGGTGAAGAGAGACAGGCAGATGTCCTAAGGGGGGTAGGAAACTGGATGACCCATGTGTCTGGGGGGGGGGGGGGGGGTGTAGGGTTACAGGTGTGCTTGTGGTTAACGCTTGGCATTGAGGTGTGAGTACATGGAACACAGTTAAGAAAAGAAGTTCTCCTTTTGCTCTTGACTTTGTGCAACAGTGAATAAAGATCTAGTTCAACAAGATTTTTCCTTCAAACACATAAAATCGATACTCACAGTGGGGAGAACATGTATTTGATACATGTCCAAACAGGTGCAGTTATCACAGGTAATGAGTGGAGAACGGGAGGGCTTCCTAAAGACAAACTAACAGGTCTGTGAGAGCCGGAATTCTTACTGGTTGGTAGGTGATCAAATACTTATGTCATGCAATAAACTGCTAAATGTGTGTCAACTACTTGTCCTCCCCAATGTATTTATTCATTTATTACAACGCTAGCACACAAATGCCAACCTGCGAGAGTTCAAACGACACACCAACAGCTGGTCCGGTGGCCCAATTCTCTTGGCCCAAAACACACACCAAACTATGCGCGACGTGGAGTGCACAGCACGTGCTCTGTGAGGCTGCAAAGGGTGCAGAGATGCTCCGTACCTTAGTAGTGTCGACCTGGCAGAGTGGCAGATTTCCCCGGCATCTCTTGCCTGCTGGGGAGCTGGAGGAGGTGAGGCCTGTGGGGAGCCGTTGGTGCGTTCAGACAGGCACTCCAGGTCGACGTCAGACGCCACGGACAGACAGTCTGCAAAAACAACAGGGATCCGATTACCGTACTAAACATTTACAGGATATCCAGAACCAGCGACATTGCAAAGTCCTCATTCGGCTGGTTACCTTCTGTCCTGTGTGACTCGCCGTCAATCTCGCTATCATTCAGCTCCGATACGGAGGCTACCTGAAGCACCTGGTGTGAAACAAACAAGTTCTGAACTCGAAGATGCGCATAGCGGGAAGAAAAACTGCAGAGAAATCGGAAGGAAGAGAGGAAAGAGAACGGCGTCCTGGAGTCTCTAAAGGAAGGTCTAAGTGTTCAACCAAGTAGTATATCAATTATGAATCACTACAATACAGTCTGATATACAGTCCACAGAAATAACTTAGTTATATGACACATACATATTTGACTACATGTTATTACAAGGAAACAAGTGCATCACTGCTCACCAATTGTGCAAATGTTGATACCTTCAACCGCTTGAAGATTTCATCTTTTCGATACCTGTAATCTGACAATAGGGGCGGGGGGGTTGGAGGGATGCTTGAATCTAGGTAGTTACAGGAGGAAGGGAGCCTCAAAGCCTTCATGGCAGCGGGAAGGTTTAGTTCTACCTGCATTTAAACCCGACACTTTTTGGCTTGTATTCCCTATAAATAAAAAGGTATGTTTTATCTCCATCCTTCCACCAACAGTAGTGTTGTGACTATTCCTAAAACATCAGATCTACTATGTGTCATACAACGCCCATTGAGTCCTTAGATTGTCCTTCAAAAAGACATTGAAGATGTTTATATCAGCGGGACACACACTATTAATCTCTGGCACAGCAGTTCAAGTTTGAAGACTTGGAAATGGTTTTATAATGTCAGACTTAAAAAATAATGCAGCCATCTTTATGCAGACGGTTTCATTCTTAATCACATGGCAAAACCCCCCCACAATGGAACACCTTTTTCCCTAGCTGTCAGATTTGACAGCACGTCAGACAAAAAACACATAAAAACATCTGAGAAGTATGAATGGACCAAACAAAGGTATGTAGAAAGATAAAACATGATCGAATTAAATTACTCGCTGGTATTCCTTGACAAAATATTTAACGTTACTCACTTTTTTTTATATTCTCGATTTTTTCCAGATATTTTGTAAGGCTGCATCCTGTTGTATAAAAAAGGAGAGTAAATTAAAATAAGGCATTTATAGATCATTTTAGTCATAAAGAGGTGACACTAGCTTATCGCACAGTAGTAACGTGTGTTCATTTAATGGACAGGATACCTGTGTCCAGCCTGGTTTTGACATGTTGATACTTTTCGTTTTTCGGTATCTTTTTTTTCATGTACTGGAAGGAAAGGACAACAAAATTGGTGGTTATGTCAGGATCTTAGTAGGAGCTAACGTTACATTAATTTAGCAGACGTCGTTAGTTTTGCTGCCGTTGATATGGTAACTAAACACCAACCACAGCTAACTAGCTAGCATGCTAGGGTAGCTAACTCTGTTGGTTCACGCTGTATGTTTACAGCTAATGTTATGTGGTAGTATCGATCGGGTAATACCACCAGTTAGCGGGGGAATAATACGAGAGACGCTGTAATTTAACGAGCATTACCTCCGCACTGCCGATACTCCGATTGAGCGACATCTTTTCAAACCATAATACCAAACATCAACTGTTAACAATCTCCCTGATGATTTGTCACTGCTGTTCCACGGGCCAATCAGAGGAGCTGATACTGTGCCCGGTCTCCCACGGAGCATCATATGACATGGCATCTAGTTGCTTAGCAGCGATAGACGCTCCACCCTAATGCCATGGCGCCTTAAATGTCGCATGGAAACAACCGCTCCGTTTTTCGGTGACATTCGTTTTAGTAGGTCCTTTGGTTGGTTGGCAGCGCCCGGGACGTGTTCACTGTCTCATGTTCTCATACATTTGATAACTGTCAGTTCCCGTTAGCGGACAATTTCAGCTAATGGGGACTGATAATTTCTCAATGAACTTGCAATGCTTTCAACTTGAATGCTGTATTTTAATCGTGAGTGGATTGCTCATATCAGATTGTATTATCTACAAGTTTCGCGAATGCACCACCACTCTCCCCGGTTGCTACAATATCAAGTCACAGGGAACCCGGTTATTCACCGCTAACTGTAACTATAGATGCAGCGGGTGTCTATTTAGCGTCTTATGCATACACAACCCACGCTTGAGAACGTTTTATTAACTCGGAATGGAAAATACCGTCGCCAAAGGACTATCGAGCAGAGTGCCGTGTTCTCTGGGTTTGACTGGTCAGGTCTGAGGCGGTTGCAGAAGGCGCTCTGTTCGTCATGGCAGTAACACTGCGGAGCGGCGGGACGGTTGAACTCTCTCCCTGACAACGTCAACTGTCCAATGCCCGCCATGTCGTCTGTTATGGTAAGTGTATTGGCTTAATACTTCGTTAAATGATATCAAGCGTGCTTGTGTGTCACTTCGACAGCACACACTTGTGCTAACTTAGACGCCGCGGAGTCGGCGGGTTTCTCCGAGCTAGCAGCGACTCCGCTAAGAGGATTCTCCTGAGTCTAACACACCTTTTGGTCCACGCTACTAACTAACGTTACAAACATATTACACTTAGCTTCTTGCACTGCTTTTTCTTATCCTTTAAGGTGTTGCTCGTTTTAATGTCTCTTTAAAGCGTTTACCAAACGCAACCGAGCAGTGACGTCACCCCATAGGGACTCCTTGCCCAGCCCTCCACCCCCCCCCCAGCATCATGAGCAACCCCCTTGTTACAGTTCTGTCCCTCACACAATGCAAAACGATTTGGACAAAAGAACCACTCCTGTAAACTGCAGAGGAAATGCAGACCGTCCCCTGACTTGATTGTGCCTCATCTTTCGCAGGAGGATCCAGCTCTGGAGAGACACTTCAAGGAACACAAGGATGCCGTCACCTGTGTCGACTTCAATCCAAACTCCAAGCAGCTGGGTAATAAACACGGTTTACACATTCGCGGATGCTATTTGGCAGCAGATGTTTGCCTTGTAATCACATGTCACACTTTTGGCTCACAAGAAGCAATTGTGTTGAGTAAAATATTCTGTGTCAGATCTTTGGTGATGACCTATTAGCTTTTTCCACCAGGATGGGCCTCTTCTTTCCTATGAGACACACTTAACCTGTTAACAGTACAACCTGAGCCCACTTTATTCTCTGTAACAGCTGCTTTAAGATATCAGGAATTCAGGTTCAGTGTGGAAGTCTTACCAGTGCTCTTTTTTCCCCCGTGTCCCTGTAGCCTCCGGGTCAGTGGACAAGAGCCTGATGATCTGGAATCTGGCTCCAAAGGCGAGGGCCTTCCGCTACGTGGGCCACCAAGACGTCATCACCGGCGTGCAGTTCTCCCCCTCCGGTGACCTCGTAGCTACTTCCTCCAAGGACAGAACGGTCCGGCTGTGGACGCCTTCCACGTAGGCGCGGGTTTCTCCTTTTCTCTGCTTTGAGTCAGGAGCACTGTGTCCCCCTCGGCTACGTTGGCCGTAACAACACAAACCATGAGAGCCGAGGCGCCACGGGAGGTTTCACAGGGTGTGTCCCCGTGTCTCACAGGAAAGGGGCGTCCACGGCGTTCAAGGCGCACACGGCCGCCGTGCGCAGCGTCGCCTTCTCCCCCGACGGCCTCAGACTGGCGACGGCGTCCGACGACAAGTCCGTCAAAGTGTGGAGCGTCCACCAGCAGAGATTCGTCTGCTCCCTCGCCCAACACACCAACTGGGTGCGCTGCGCCAGGTGCCCACAGCCCCCCCCCCCCCCCCCCCCACACTCATCCCCCTTTGCAGATTTTCCATCTATCTGAGCAGTCGTAGAGTGTCGTTTCTTTGCCTTTGGTTGCTGCAGGTTTTCTCCTGATGGGCGTCTCATTGCGTCCTGCGGAGACGACGGCACCGTCCGGCTGTGGGACACGTCCACCAAACACTGCATCAACTGCTTCACGTACTACGGCGGGTAGGTCCTCGGAAGGTCCCGGCATTCTCCTTAGCTTTGTTTTCATTATAAATATTGAGGTCTAGTCACTTCAAATGTAATTTTACTTGGCAGGAGATTATTTTTCTTTTCTCTGTTGACTGTTGACTTTTTTCCTTTTTGTTCTTCCAGATGCGAAACGTTTGTTGGTTTCAACTCGAGCGGCACCTGCGTGGCGTCCTCGGGAGCCGACAGTTCCCTGAAGGTCTGGGATCTACGGACCAACAAGCTGATTCAGCATTATCAAGGTCTGTTTTCATATCGCAGCTCTAACCAAAACTAACCATAACTACCACCTGAAACGTCCGCGCCTAGTATCAGTGTACCGAGATTAAATGCCGGCTTCTTATTGGCTCCCTTTGTTTTTCTTTTGTCCGTCTTGGATCAGTCCACAGTGCGGGAATCAACAGCTTCTCCTTCCACCCGTCCAACAACTACCTGATCAGTGGCTCCAGTGACGGCACCGTTAAGATCCTGGACCTGCTGGAGGGCCGCCTCATCTACACGCTGCACGGACACAACGTGAGGCTACAGCTCAGTGAGACACAGACCAGCTCTTTGACTTTACTCTTCAGCAACAGAGATCTGTGACTGTGGTCAATGCATTGCAGCAATGGAGTCCGGTGGTATTTTACTGTAACGGAGTCAACGTGTTAACTAATGACTCCAAGCTGAAACAACCGAGCGTTGGGTTTAAATACAGAATCATCTGAGTTTATTATCTGCGTCCAAACCATTTATAGAATTTACACTGAAACCATGGACGCATTCGACTGAAAGTCACCGACTAACGCGGCCTTTTAACTTTTTATTTTCATTTCAGGGCCCTGTATTGACTGTAGCGTTCTCCAGGGCAGGTGACCTCTTTGCCTCGGGGGGAGCTGGTGGTCAGGTTGTTGTTTTCATTGCGTTTCACATTTAGCGACTTAAAGGTTACAGTTTTATCTGCAGAACGTTGTTCATGGAAGTTGTGCTGGTCCATCACGTAGGTGCTGATGTGGAGGACAAACTTTGACATCAAATCCTACCAGAATGTCCTGCAACAACACAGCCGGAGGTCCACCCCGGATCCTCCGCCCCACGTAGCCGACATCCACCCCAGAGGACCCCACCTCCACCTCCCAAAGGCCTCGGCCATTCAGGTCAGTTCAGCGCTAACGTGATCTGGTCAGATAGCAGCTCTCCTACAGTCCAGATACGTGTAAAGGTCTCAGAGCAGCTTTATGGGACCTTTGTCCCCCTCCTCACAGATCAGCCCAGCGGTGGCAGACACTCGGTCCACTGATCCGCTCGTCGTGGAGTTCGGCCAATCAGCTCGTGGAACCGCAGCGAGCCGCCAGAGGGACGCCACAGTCGCAGAGACACACACGTTCCAACTCCCACTCGGGGTAGGTGGGAAAATCAATTACACACAATTTCTTGAGCGGGTCAAAGGAAAAATCCAATTAAAGTTTTTTATGGAGAGAGTGCTACAAATACACCAAAGACATAAACAACATAACGTACACAAAACAAAACACAAAACATCAAGTTCACGCCACGGCCACCAGGTGGCAGTACAGACTGGTGTTCTGCAGCACGTTCATTCACTCCAGAGATCCCCATTAATCCTGCTCATCATTTGTGTGGTCATAAATTGTTTGTCCACAGCAGGCTGGTACACTCCTCATGGCCCTGAACGCTGTAACGTAGCAAATCCTGGATGCAAATTAACGCCGTCCACTCACTCCGCACAAGGCCGCTCGGGAGGGGTGGGGGGTGGTCGTCTCGATGTACAGGTTTATTAGGTGTATTAGGAACGTGGCGAGTTCATTTATTGAGGCAAATACTTTTCCTTTACATTTGTAGACATTTTAAATCCAACGTTTTATTAACCCCAAGTAGTTGCTGAGCTTGTGTTTTTTAAAAAGAGCTTAAAACTGTGACTAATCCGGGAGATAATACTTCTACGCGAAGACGTAATCGAGGGCGCCTGGCGGGACAGGAACGTGATTGGATGAAGCTGTGACGGTCTGTCAGCGAGTGACAGCGAGATCCTCCTTGTGGCAGTGGCAAGTGGGTGGCAACTTTGTGACAGGCAGCGGCAATCGCCAGTAAATCAGTCGGCGTCACGACGGCACGCTGGGTGGGAGGAGCCAATTTTTCCCAGAAACAACTGTTATTGTACGACAGGTCAGCTGCTGTAAATATTTAATTTTATTTAATTTTATTTGAGACACGTGAGCCCCCGTCTTCTTATTACAGAGGCTAATTTTAGGTTTGGACCGGCGGGTTCCGTGTAGGGGGTGGGGCTCTCAAGTTTGATGCCACCCACTTGCCACTGCCACAAGGAGGATCTCGGCCTTACTGCTGTCAGCACAGTTTATATGGCTAACGTATAGTATTATTGAATATACTATATAGCTGCCTCAGCAGTTACAATAATAGACGAGCTGGAGTTCTGGTAGCGTGTTCAACCTCGCGGCTCCCTTTGGTGTCACACACACACACACACATACAGCAGGATTAGCTCTGACCCGGCGGATACTTCCTCTCTGTGTGTGTGTGTGTGTGTGTGTGTGTGTGTGTTTGTTTCAGAGTCATTCCTGGTTAAAGCACCCCCCCCCCCCCCCCCCCCCCGCTTCCCCCGGTGCTACTCCTCCTGTCAGCTCCGATGTCCATCACTGAGGATCTCCTCCTCCTCCTTCCGATGTCCTCAGAGTGCTTTCCCTTCCTGGTGCCCCGAATGCCCCCCCTCCTCCCCCCTCCCCCCTCCCTCATGCCCTCATTGCTGCCCTGATGTGTCCGAGCGTGGACAGGAGAGAGGTCTCTCCTCCGCTTTCACTCTGTTGGACTTCAGTGACTCTTCACAATGATGTGTGTGCGTGTTTTAAAATGGGCTGCGCAAATTAACGATTAACCACAATTTGTTTCCTTGTCGACGCAAAGCTTTTGTCTTTACTGCAAATTAACGACGCCTTGCTTCAAAATGAGATGAAATGTGATGTTCTTTACATTTTGGGAATTTCGTCAAGGACACGGTTTGGCATCAGCTGTGTTTGTGTTTTATCTGAATGCCACTTCATCGCTGCACACGGGCAGAAAGCATCCTTTAAGTTGTGTGTATTTTGTGTTCATTGTTGGTTGTTATTTTAGGTCAGAAGTTGGAATCTGAGCTTCAGGTTTGACGCTAAATGTTTCTAATGAAGCGTCTGATGAACTGGCGCGTGTTTTACGAGACGATTGGATAGCAGGAGGTTGGATTTGGTTACCGGCGCTGCGGATGTTCGGTGTGACGCCACTATGACCTGAGTGTGTGTGTGTGTGTCCCTCCCTCCCTCCCACTGTTAATCTGCGGTCCTTATCACATGTGAGGTACTTTAAACCTGTTCTTCTGTCACTTGTAGGGACCCTATTCAGGTGCATCCATTACATAAATACAGAGCCATGACCCTGTTTGTGTAATTGCAGCGTGCACTGTATGCGTCTACGTTTACCCCCCCCCAGCTTCCTGTGCAGTGGGAGGACAGGATATTGGATGGCCCGGAGGTTTAGATACCAGATCTAAGTGCTCTAGTGGAGAATGCGAGTGACAAGACACAACGGAAATTAGTAACATTGCTCCAAAGGGGCAGGGGCGGGGGGGTGTTCACTTTCCACCAGGACAGTCTCCCAGAGGCTGCGCACACGCACACGCGCACACACACACACACAGTTTTACTCAAGTATGTCTCCCTCTGGGTCGCGCCGTCCTCCTCGTGGTACTCCGGGTGTAATTAACAAGAACCAATCGACCAGAAAAATGCCATGATGCATCCTGACCGGCCTACGGGCGTCATCAGGACTGGTGACGCTGAGAGGGCTCCCCCCCACCCCCCTCGTGGCGTCTCCGGTCTCTCCGCCGCCCGCATGCAAGTCTCCAAAACTAGAGCTCACTCATCAAAAATACAAAAGGAGGGCAAGCCTCATCACTAATTCAAGCGGGTTCTCTCTGCGGATGCCCACCTCACCTCTCACGCCCTTCCTGCTTATGACCGGAGGGCCCAGTTGTCGCACGTTTGTGTTATACTCAGTATTTACTATTACAGCAGTGTTTTTTTAACAGCATCTCAAACTCTAAATAAAGAATGGCTTTATGGTAGTGATAATGCAATCACTTGTTGTGGATCTGCATTTTTCTTTTACAGTTTTCAAGGACAGGGAGTCCCTGAAGGCCTCGTGGTTTTGCACACGGCCTCGTTCTGACTGCGTGTAACACGTGGTGCTAGGGTGACCAGCATGTGACTTGATGAGGACGCACGCTGTACAGTCGGAAGTCACCATCAGCGAAATATCATTTCTAGTCTCGCTAACGAGCCGCCCGTCATGCAGTTTTGTGTTTGCTGCAGCCCCCCGTTGTGACATATCACGATAGTTTAGCTCTGCCGACGCTACTCCAAGGGCTTCCCTTCTTCCATGGCGGCGCCTCCATCCCTTCACATCAGATCTGTCCTCTGAGGGTACGACTCGTGTGTTCAGTCCGTGCGCGAGGCTAAAATAGCCCGCCGTCTTTACAGGTTCCGAGACCCTTAAGAGCAATGGTAACAAGGAATGGTGGTCTTCCCGGCGAGACCAAAGGGTGAAACCTTTAGGAGTTTAAATTAGACCAGGATGAGGAAAAAACAAAAGGGAGTTTTGAGATTAGAGTCCGCCTTCTTCATAAAAACCTAAAGAGAGGACGGAGGTGTGGTGTTCTTCCGATAATTGAAGTTTCTGTTGATAGTACTCTATCTCAGTAATATATCCACTTATTTAGGGCATGTGTAGATCTTGGTACCCGGGCCGGGAAAGAGAGAGTCCACATGAAAACAAATCCCTTTTCCCTGGCGCTGAAGATCGCCCGGAGTTCGCGTTCGGGTGCAGCCGTAACTCAAACACTGGCTCCCCCTCCCTCATTAAACTCATTAAATAGTCCACCGGTTAGGAAGTCATTCGCCCCTCCCCCCCCCCCCTCCCCCCCTTCCCCCCGATTCCCACAGCTGCACTGATGAACGGCGTTTGCATTGCATGTGCAGCGTCAAACTGCTGCATAAAACACGTTAAAGGAGAATCTCTCCTAAACTTCGTCCACTACGTCCAGTCTCCGATCACTCCTCTGTAGAGGCACCGAACCAGGGAGCGCTGCCTTCAGTGGTGCCCCGAAAGCCCAGAGAGCACACAAGGAACCGGTGGTTGGAAGTGAATGACGAGCGATGAGTTTCAAGTGTTTGCTGCCTATTTTATTTTATTTCCTTTTCGATGATGGTTGGGGCGTAATCTTCTTGTTTGATAGGCGCTTAAGTGTCTTAGCGTTGGCCGTGAGACGGTAAGTGTGGGAACATGCAAGAACGTCAGGGCGCAGGCTTAGTCTGTGGGTGGGGGGAGGTGGGGGGGATTAGGTATTAGGTAGGGGTTAGCCTTGAGCTTGCATTGTCTTACAATGGGACAATTAGAAAATTAGCAGCGGGCTTAATGCTGAATGGCAAGCAAGTTCCCACAGGTGCTTTGCAGTCCTTTTGGTATTCGCTTAAGTGCTAAAGCAGATTAGCAGGCATTTGTGTTGCAATGCAGCTCAATCCCCCCCCCCCCCAATGGATACCCGCCTGTTTTGACAATTTCGTTGTGAGAGCCACAGCCTTTGAATTGGTTTAAATATGTGTGAGATCTCGTTGGCTTCATTGCATTAAATAAAGCTTCCTGAGGGCCATCCCGGATATTTTTGTGCACTCTTCTTCAATCCGCAGCAAAGCTGGACAGGGATTTTTCTTTTTTATTTCACTTCTCAATCCCCCACGTCTGCTGGTCGTCCGTTTACCCGTCTGCCAGCGTCCACGCGGGCTCTCCTCGGGATGAAAAGATGCCAGTCCTGCACACGGTTGGATGTGTGTCAAGATTACACAGAGAGATTAACCTGTCCTACATTCACCTGAGCGCGCCCCCCCCCCCCACACACACACACACACACACGGCAACACATCTATTTCTAAGAAAAATCAGGAGTATCTTCCATCTGTTTAAATCCAAATGGAAAAAAAGTTATTGATTGAAGTGACTGAGCTAGAAAGGGCTCTTTAGTCGGGTGTTTCTCTGCATTCAGGCACGCAGGCTTCCAGCCCTGTGTGTTGTCCCCGGTGACACCGTTAAGTATTAACTGTCTGTAGAGGAACAGAACAACCTGTGAATGTCACAATGGTAAAAGATGGGTGACTTTGTAGAATGATTAAATGAATGACTCCTTCTTCTTCTTAAGGAGTCCTTCTCCTACTCATGAATGAGATGAGAAGCTGAATGAAGGAGACCTACTCCTTCATTCAGCTTCTCATCCGTTAAGCTACGACAAGAAAAACTGACAAAATGTTGTGTTTTATAAGAGCCAACTGGGTGAAGATGA